TTTTGCAGCAAGTTTGTTTCTCTAGGAACATAAGAAAGGGATTTGGATTACTGCGTCCTTTCTTATGAGCTGGAATGTGAGCTGTTAGTTGTCATGGTTTTGTAAGTAACGGTGATTGATTTTGAGATATTTAGGTGAAGTCTGACTGCTGGAGCTTTTCTTAGGTTTAGGCTGTTCTTCATGAATGCAGTAAGTCAAGAATACCAGACTGGCAGGGCATGTACAATCAACAGTGGTTACAATGTTGACTTTTAGGATAGATTGGTAAATCTTTCATAGATTCATGTACATTGATGCCATAGACATGATGAATGCTGGGTATAGACAGAATTAATAACATTTTTGTGTGGTATTAAATCTAAACGATTTGTTACTTGAACTTTTAAATGTACATGTACAGCTTGTACACAAGAAGATAATTGTATCAATAATTATTATAATAATTATTATCATGTACAGTATACTCTTGCAAACATGGATGCCATTAGATCACTGTTGTCTATATAAAGTAATATGCAATTTAGTAAGGTCCAACCTACAATGTACATACATGTACATATACATCAGTAATTGGGAAGTACTATTATCCATCATCAAATTGATGTAGTTCTATGAGTAGTTATATTATCCATCATCAAATTGATGTAGTTCTATGAGTAGTTATATTATTCATTCAAATGTGAATATATATGTATAAAATATATACAGACCCAGTTTGGTTTGGGTTTAATAGAGACATGAAATTATTATATCAAAAACAGAAAGGTGTTAGAATTTTACATTTTAAGGTCTATCCATATTTCATGAGCTATCTAGCATTAAATTGTCGATATACTGTTTTAAAAAACTAAAAAGCTATTAAAAAAATGAAATGTCAAATGCATACAAACACCATAAAATCTAGAAAGCCATACACACATAATATGCAATCAAGTGTACTTTTTAATTAAATTGAGATGGAAGCTATACAGAACAAAAGATAGAAATCAGATATCTCTTCATCAAATGCGTATAAAAATTTCAGTCGTAAATCTAATACTTTCTGTGGTACCTTAATAATACCAAATTAGAGTATCTTTACTGCCTGATAATATGTTGTGAAATGAGGTATATATTAAACAAGAAATTATACTCTGAAAGCATATTGGGTTGAGCTGTTTTTTTATTCATATAAAACTCACAAACAGATGCCATGATACACAGTGCTTGAACTAAATAATAGCCTAAATCAGGGCCCACATTGTGTTAATCTTCCCATCCACACCTACAATATTGAATTATAATGAAAACACCATTCACTTGCTTGGGCAGAGAGCTGGGGGATAAACAGGTTAGAATAGGAAATAGGTGACCTGAAATAATTCAAAAATCTTTTTTATACTTCTTATAATATGAACCAGAAGGCATATTTTGGATTATAGTTTCACAAAGTACAATAATTATAATATCAATGGAAAATGAATATTGCTGTGGTTACCTTAGATTGGCAATTCAGATTTTTTTTTCTCAGTCAAAGCTACTTAACAAGATAGCATGTGCATTCATCTACATAAAATGATATGTGATATTAAGCCTCTGGATACAGGCATGAATAAACTATATCCTCATATTTGATTGCTTCTATTTTGGGGTTATTAATGTCAAAGATCAGAGGCATTATTTACTGTTTTTTCAGTGAGAAAGAGAAGGGAGAGGTGGATAGAGAGAGGGATGGGAAGAAAAGGATTACTGATACATGTACTGATTGCCGGAAGCATATAAATAATGGTTGGTTCACTCTAACAGTTGAAGTTATGAAAAGATATATGATTTTATTTTATGACATATGATAATGCTTTAACCACAAGTCGTTTATCATTCAATACTACTGTCTTGTTTGACAAGATGATGAAAAGTTTTGTATGAGTGGGTGCACTTCTGTTTTTGGATCTAGTAGTACATTGTTTCCAGACATGCACACATCATGATGAAACTACATGTACCTATGGGAGGTAGTGATTTTGAATAGAAGGTGGAGGATGTTATTTTCCACTTTTTTATCCAAGTTTTGCAGAAACTCTTACAAAACTGCTTTTGTGATTATTAACTTTATGTGTTTTTGTCACTGAACGCAGCGCATGCATGATTTGTGCCCACATTGATTGGTGATTCCAGGAAGTCAGGTGTATCATATTATGATGTGATGCACAAGAAAACTGTAGAGACTTCTTTGATAGGGATATTTGTAGGAACTCCTTTTCTGTATTTAAAAAAAAAGAAAGCAGTTCCAGAAATTTGTTTTCTACAATAAGCTGTAGTTTGGCCAGCTTGTAAAGTATTTTTATAGCCATACAATAGTATTAGTGGGAGCTTCAGGGGGTCTTTATTGCACCAAGCTTTGAAGCGTATAGTCCAAACTATGAGTGGTGAAGAAACAACAACTCACCACCAGTGGTTCAGGGATTAACACACTATGGTCTACATGGTGAACAATCCAAGATAATTGGAAGCCATTTATTCCCTTCATTGTCCTGTAGCATCCTTGACGGATCATCCACTTGTGACATGTACCACTATCTATCCAAGCGTTCAACTTGAACAAGTCAGTTTACTTCAAAAGCATCGCATTTGATACATCGTAAATCTATTTCCATATATATATACCCCCCACAGATTAGATAATTGCTGTCATCATATTTTTTGAATACTTGTTAATCTCTTCCAGTCAGTCATGACTTATAAAGACTCATGAATAGTATTTGATCATTTGTTATCATTAGTCTAACTATCTTTTATATCAGATTGTACACGTATTCATAAGCACACATTAGTTGATATACAGTTTAATCCTATTCAATTCTTGCTCTTGGAAAAAGAAATCATTCATTCATGTTTGTTTATCTACTTCAAGACTCACATAAATGTTGGTATGTGAATGCAGTTACTCTTGATACTTTGATACTAGCTTGAAATCATGTCATCCACTTCAGCTGCTCTTTTCAAAGGAAAAGCAATTGAAAATTGTAGCAATGTTTTACTTTTGATCATGTGCTCTGCAGGAAGGCATGAATGGATGTGCAGAGAATGCATGTAACCTTGAAGAAGAAAGGTTTATTCCAAAGTTTTTGACTGTCCTTTAGCTACATCTACGTAACACATTCCAGTCCATCATTATCCAATGATATGCTATACACACATCAATATGTACTTAAGCTTTTAAAATATTGAGAGCAAAAAAAAGTTTTCATACATGCATCCACATGTATTTCATACAATAATATGTATATGTATTTACTATTTTTATATTTTGCACATTGCGTGTTGCCAACTGTCACTGCTGTTATGAAACATATAATCTGATCTCCTACTGATCGTAGTCAAAGAAGACTGGGAGTTCACAGTAGTAATCGTTTCTGTCATGCTCTGAGCATCTCTGAAACCTGGCATTGAAAAGCATTGAAGCAATCAAGTTCTGTTGACTCTAACCATGGTAGCATCTAGAGTTCTCTTGTAAATCTTTTGTCAGGGTTTTTATACTTTCCCAACACTTAAAAGGCTCACCACTTGCCCATAAACTTCCAATCTTTTTGACAGTCTTGTAGTTATACTGTGAATATTATTGCAGTAGGTTTTATGGGTGAATAATAAACTTCAAGTCAGTTTGATCACTTCTATTAGTATGATCATACATAATATAGATTTTTTGAAACATAATGCACCACCTCATCTAAAAATCTACACTACATCCAATTGAAATCAAGTTTGTCTATTTTGAGGGGGTATAGAAATTCAGTCCTGTCAGTACATTCTTCAGTCATGGAAAAGTAATTACATTTCTCTTCTTGCTTATCTACAATATATGCTCCAAGAAAATTTTAAGATAACTTCAAGAATATTTTTGACACTTCATAAATCAGATTGCTTGAAACCCTTGAGCAGTGTGGATGCCTTTAATAGCTTTGTAGTCAGGAAGATATGTTGACTTGAACAGTAATCTGTGACTAAGCTCTCAAGTTTCTACCATAAAGAGCCTTATAATACATGATTGGGCACTCTGGATTATTACTCTTTACAAGGAAGCAATTTACAAAAGACTACAAGTCCGTTACTTTACTTTTGTTTGCTTAGCAAATTGGCATGATTCCAGAAAAAAGGGGAAAATAAACTTTCTTTCAAGTATATACAGTGCACATAGTTTAAGACACCACCATAGAACTTATTTACAAGGTTTCAAACATTGTCTTTAGTGATTCAAATAATAGGCCATGACAGAGGAGAAATTAATGATATTGTACAGTTTCATTCAATTCATTTGTAACAATAACTCAGACGTACAGCATATCATGCGATACAACAGTAGCGACCTTTGGCAGGGCAAGAGCAGTTGGGTGTAAACTGTAAAGAACTTTCTTGTATTGATCATGTTAAAGGAATGTTTGTCTTTGGTCTCAGTCATGAAAAAGATACTCCTCCTATCTCAAGCATTATAGACATTTATCTTTTTGAGATAAGAAGGATTTACATAATTCTGTTTGAAAAAGGATTTAAATGTTCATTGATATGTTTTACCCAAGTAAGCAACTCAGAGAACATGTGAATGATTGTTAAAATTAAAAGTTGAAATTTGCTTCCTTCATAAATTAATTATTCCGTAGATATTGATGATTGAAAATCATTTGTACAATGTACATGTAGTTTTCAAGAACTGCTTTGTTTACAATGCTTTTTGTAAATTCTTGTTGATCCTTAAGGTGATAATGGTGTATTATGTTGGTATCAAGGGATAAATCTTGTATGATGTACAGTACATTATATGTAGAGGACAGAAAAACACAATTTTGTTGCATATTAGAGACAGGCATTTAAACACTTTTACAGAAGTTCTAAGAATAGATCAGATATTTATAGGGTCAACTAGAGTTATAGCCCAAGAGTTATAGCCCACAGTAAACCATATTTGTTGTGTTTCTAGTTCTTTCAGTAATTGTTTTTCATTTTTGCTCTTTCATTATTCCTTCTAGTCAATGAGAAGATTCAAGGAATACAAACACGTCCCATCATCAGAGCTCAACGGATTGAAAACATTCATCTATGTCTACGCTTCTTACAGATCAAGGGCTTTGATACCAGAGGGGTCAATGCTGAAGGTACATAGAACCATCTGTTTTTCTTTTCATATATTTTACCTTTGTCTTGTGGGATCTGGGCTTTCGTTGGAGTATACATAAAAAGGATAATGTTTGTGACTAAAAGACATGAGAAGTCATAAAACGGTGATTGAAAGTGATTTGTATTTTGTAATATCTTTTGAGATCTGGAGCTTTATTTTTAGTCTACATTTGAATAATGATCATTGTGACCAAATCGTCGCTGTTTTCACGAAGTGACGGTAGTGAAAAAAAATTGCATTCACTTTGCGTGACGATTTTCCTCACTACCGTCACTTCGTGAAAACAAGGACGAAATGTCAAAAGTCATCTTATAATCTCTATACAGGACAAAAAGAACCCTAAAAAAAAAAATTATGATATTCTTTTAGTCAGCAATCAATCTGATGGTTGAAATTATGAAAAAGAAAGAAATTATTTCATTGAAATGAGTACCAAAGGAGAAATTCATTCTAAACTGAATCAACAAATTTGTAATTCTAAATAGTTCCGTGAATCATTGCAGTGCAATTCTTTAACTTATTTTGATCAGATTTAAATCTTATCCCTTGTTCATTGTACTGACAGTCTTTGTGTATACCGGTATATGTTTGAGTATAACTTCAGGCACTTGTACAGTATATAAAGGAATAAATGACACCTTCTTTTCCTTTTTGCAGAAATCAGTGATGGGAATCTCCGGTCATCTCTTGCCCTCATTAACACCCTGAGGCGAAGGTTTGAGGTATGTACAATGTCAGTATACTCATTAGGGATACATAAAAAAGTTGTTCCATGTATGTATTTCCTGCAGTAGTGGATGTACAGTACATATAAACATAAGTAAAGCAATTCAAGCTGCAGTTAGCACCCACTCTTAATATTTGATATTAAGTGGAGTTATAGGTGAAGGTTTACATACACACAAAGAGATTATTGACTATTTTGAAAAACACAATTATTTTACCCTTAAAGAGAAGGTTGAGTTCTGGGAAGAGGTGAAACATAATTTCTGAGCATTATCATTCTTATTATGCAAGTGTGGAAGAACATCATATAAGACATGTTCCCTGAAAAGCATGGCTCTTCAAATGCCTTCATATTCTAAATATATTGTAACATCGTTAAAATCCAGGGACGGATTTTTACTTCACGTGTTCGTGTAGTCCAATATACATCTTTCTGTGTACATTGTTTGTAACTTTACCAAGACTTGGCCAAATTTCTTATCATTTTGATGATTCCAGAACCTTGCAATACACACAAATTCTTATATGCTAGATGATCAACCTTTTCTGGTCGATTCCACACCGTTTCTTTCACAATGCAATCGCATGACCAGAACTCAACTTCATCATTAAAAGAGCAATCTTATAAATGTTCAGTTCATACAGAGATGCCATTATTGTTTAATTTGAGGGAAATTTTATCATTAACCACTTTATTCAAAAAGCATGCTTTACCCTCTTTTATGTTTGACATATATCCAGATATTGTTTACAGGACAATCTCTTGATTTGCTGAGCCACAGTCATTAATTGGTAGCATATTAAGTTTGAATGTATGAATCAATATGGTTCCTTGTATAGTAAGTGAATGTGTTACTGAACTTTACAGAGTACCACCACTAGTGCTAGTAGTCAGAAGGATAGTGCACCTCCTACTCCACGAGGACCGGTACCAGATAGCATCTCACAGAATGAAGAGAGGATATCATTACAGGGTAGAGAACCAAGTATTATGAGCCAGGTAAGACAATGGTCTACCTCTATGGGAGATATTTTAGCTATTCATTTTCATATCTTTAGCACTATTTGTTGGTACAATGTGCATATAGGGTGAATTCCAGAACATAAAGGCTTAGTTGCATCGGGTCTTGTGTACTGAATGACCTTCTTTTTTATTAATTTATAATAGACTGCTACTAGAGTAGAGTAGCCAGGCAAAGAAGAAATATACAGAAAGAATCATAAAAATAAATAAAACAAGATGTATAAGCTCTTCCATTTTTGTAGAGCCCATAAAAATAGGACATATATATCGTTCTGAAACATGAGATAAATTTAAAAGAGAAATTCTAACTATTTCTTTTGATTGTGAAGAGTTCTAAATTAACTTATCCAATATTGTAATAAGTGGAAGCAACACATACACCATAATTTTGTAGCAATTCCTTATTACAATTTCTTCTTTCCACAGATATCTGGTCAGTCTGAAACAAGTTTTGGAAGAAAGAGTGGAGATTACTCAAGTGAGTATTGTTGTTCCTGAAACTATATAACTATTGTTTACTCTGATTTTTAATGAAGTGTTACTTCTGTACTTGTACTTCTGTCTATGTGGGTGTTTATGGACTATGGACTGTCAACAAATATTATTGTATATGCTACAATGTAATTAGCTCAGAGACCAAAGTCTACATACTTTGATTTCATATTTGTATTGGTATCACAACACAAACTGCGCCAACATTGGTTGGATCCAATAAGTGGTCAGTTTGCAAGTGAAGAAAAATTAAAGAGGTCATAGAGATGGACTTAGCATGAAGTAAATAGTCCTAAATTTGATCAATAGATCAAGTCGATTGAAGTTGATAAAAATAACAGTAACAAAAGGACAAGTGATGGGCTTAATACAAACATGAGATTTAAAGATTTTTGAAATTAGTAGATCATTTGGCAAAGTCTTTGATAGTAGGCCTTACAGCCAATGTTACTGCTGATATGTCATGTAATCATGTAACAAAGCTCTTGTCATATTTCTTCATGTCATTCCATCTTTCTCTTTTATTTCCAGTGAATGGTACAGATGGAACCTATGAGATGCAGAATACCACACCTCGTCTCATTCCTAATGGTCATGTTGAGCCCTCTTTACCAGGCCTTATGGGCTCTACCAATCCAGAAGATGATATTCCAGTCATTGCACAGAATGAGCATACTGTCATGGTAACTATACTTTAACTATAATCTTGTAGACCTTCCTTACATTCTTTGTTTGAGTACATAGCTTGTATATAGGTCTATGGTATCCATTTTTTTTTGTTGTACATGCAAATATTTTCTATATTAAGTGGGTAGACTTAAGTGTATTTGTCTCTGCTCATAAGTTAGCAAGCTAAATACAAATAAGGGGTTCAGAAAAAGTAAATATATATATATAATGGTTTATTTATTCAAAAATCACGTTGCAGCCCAAAGGCTGAATTGCACGATTTTTTACAAATCTTTGACATAAAAACAGATTATAATGAACATTGTTAAAAGCATTACACAAAATAATAACTGCATACAAAATTATTAACGCAATAATATTCAACTAATATTCTTTTACATTTTAAACCGAAATAGCTAGGATTACCAGATGGTATAAAGGCACATAGATTAATAGATGATCAGGTTAAGAGAGGGAGAGAGATAATCAAGAAGGGAGAGAAAAAATGTGGGAGTCAGAGAGGAAGAACTAGTGTTGGAAGAAAAAATACCATAAGGTAAAAACTAAGAATCAGGAATAACGAAAGCCAGAAATAAGGCTCTAGGTATGTGTTTTTGAATGCTTCATCGTCAGATGAGAGAGCAAACCAGGTACAAGGAATACATGATATATTGATATGTGAATATTGTTAAATTAAAATACAATTCATCATTTAAAAAGGTTGTATGCTTAAAATAATACTTAAAAGTGAAATTAGATAAATTATACTTGTACACTATACAGAGTCCAAATAGATACAATTAGGCTATTATTTACATTTAAAACATCTTATATATATGTAGAATGTAGGATGCGAGGAATTAGGCAATACAACAGCAAAGGCAGATGTGTATATCATAATATGTATATGAAGTGGGAGAGCGAGAGAGAGAGGGGGAGGAATAAGATAGAAAAGGTAGTATGTGAGTGAAGGAATAACAGAAGGAGAGAAAGAGTAATGAGAGAAAATGTAAGGAGGTGAAGAAAAAAAAAAAAAAAAAAGTCAAGATTCATCAATATCCAAATCTAAGGTATGTGTAAACCGAACATCATCCCCAATAACTATATTCATCGATATTAAATTGCAATGTTTTATCAGAAATCAAAGTGTATGAAGTTTATAAGATATAAAAGACAAATCATATCTCTATCTTAGAATAATATTGTCGGAGCTGACAACCCTAACCCATTCAAAAACTTGAATACTATCGTCTCACATATTTCACTGGGGAAAAAAATCATAAATGATAATCATAAATGATTGATTATTATTATGGCTTCAATCCACATACATTATATTCAACAAAATTTGATATCTCCCAATTAACATACCCATGTATATTTTGCAATAACATACATGTTTACCCCACTCTCAGAATATGGGATGATTGACTGTTTATACTCAGTGTTATGTTTGCATTGATCCACATGACTGCTATATTACTCTAGGATATATTTATTTAACGGGATGAGTAACCATGTGAAATTTGATTATTTACACATCTTACAACAAAGAGGTGAGAATGTTGGGGTTGTCTGAAGGTCAGAGATGTTTGATTAGTAAATTTGCTTGGTAAAGATTGTTGGCTTGAAGCAATGTCAAGGCTTTGGTAGATTTTGTTAAAGTGAAGGTTTGTTGGTTTTGATGCATTGACACTTTCCCATGATTGCATACTTGTTTATTTATATTGATTTTTTTATATTAATTGTTTATAGTGACAGTGGTTTTGTTCCAGTAATGGTCTGTGTGCACAGTGCAAAAATGGCATATAAACAACAACAATGTGAATAGGTTATTTTCAATGTATTTACTTGTTCAATGAAAGTAGGCATGTAGATTTTAGTAACCGTTGTTGTTTTTGTTTTTTTAAGTTTTAATGGCATGTATCATTCATTTATATTTACTTATTTTTGTGGATTAGTCTTGACCCCAAGCAAATTATTTATTTTCCTATGTTTTAATGTTCAGAGTATGACAGAGATGGGATCGAAGGGAGTCCTCCAGCATGGAGCTGAGACTAGACGGATACAGCTATCCAAAGACAAGAGCCCTCGTGGGGCTATCAGACCTCAGCCAGTCAAGGCAGGAGATACATGGAACCCATTAACCGTAAGCATTCAAACAATCAATATATCTCATTGGGAGGAAGTACAGTATATTTATTACATCATTTTCTTTTTGGGAAGTTATTTCCATTTAGCAGCATTATGCCTTGTACAATGTGTTTGATGGCAGAGAAAAATTATTGAGTCCTCACTTTAGCTCAGTTGGGAGAATTAACTAACTTGATAATTTATATCAAGTAAAGAAAATGTTAATATAAACAAAAATCTCTCTTTTTCTGTTTCAAAGTAGAAAATATGGATTTATATCTTCATCATATATGTATTTATACTTATTTACTCACTGTCTCTATTTGTCCTTGCTATCTAAGCATCTTTCTATAACTATTTCTATTATTTCTATCCATCTCCCCTTTATTATTATTATTATTATATATATTCGACCATTCATTTAAAAAGCACAAATACAATATATCGTTGGCCGGCTGGCAGGAGGGCGTTAGCGCGCGAGCGACTCCAAAACTACTTTTCGAATTATTCGCATTTAAAGATTTGTTTTATATTTAAGCAGCTTTCTATCCCGAAAATTGATTTAAAACTTAAAAGACTAATAGAAATGTTATAGTAGAACACGGCCACAATTTTTGTGGAAATAAGTCATTTTTATAAAAGTTTAAGGCGATTTAGTGCTAACGCCCTTCTGCCAGCCAGGCGACGATATATTCTGTTCTTTTCTATCATTCACATTTTCCCCTTTCATACATGTATTTCTGACCATACATCTCCTTGTTATTCCCCCTATTATATCCCCACTGTCCTCCATGTCATTGTGTGTGTTTTAAATCATTTCCCATTGTCTCTGTTTGATAGAATCCCAAGTCTCCACTGAGGGACACATTGTCAATGACAGTGGAAGAGAAGCTCAAAAACCTGCTAGACTCCCCCACACCAGGCAGTCTGATGAACGGCAACAATCAGGTAAGTCTGTCTGCACATACACGGCATGCATATCTTATCTAATCCCAGTCTAGATATGTTTGATAGCTCATATCACTAACAAATTAACAGTGCTGGGAACACCCTGTAACATAAAAGAGTTTATTCTTCATAACTCCCCCAAGTAGTTATATCTCTCTCAATCAATCATATCTTTATCATCTACAGTAACATCTAATCAATTTTATTTTACAGTTAAGGCAACATTTTATTGTAATTAAGCTTCAATCAATTATAACAATAATGGAGATACAATAGTGGTTGTTTTGTAGTTATCACTATTATTATTATTATTGATTTGCTATCAATCAATTTTCTGCTAGAAATGTCAGATTGTGAGCATCCAAAGGTTTCTGAAGTACATTACAATATCCACCTATCATATTGTGTTCCATACCAATGTTAAATTGAGATATAATTTTGTATCTTTCTTTTGCTTATAATTAAAAGCCTAAGTTTGATGATGGTGAGCTGCTGGAGTTACCTCCACCAAGCTTCCGAGATGTGACCGATGAGGATGAGAATGGTGACGAAGAGGCTAACCTTCAGGCTATGCTGGAGGATCCAGATAAGTTTGACTACCCCAAGGATTGGGATAGATATATCTCAGGTTATGTGGTGAGTACAGCTTGCTCTTTCTCTCACTCTTCCTGTCCTACCTTGAGACTTTCTCTCTACTTTTTATATCTGCCTGTATGTAAATATCTCCATATTTCGCTCTCCCATTCTCATTCTCTCTTTAACCTTAATTACCCCCCCCCCCCCCTTGCCCTTATTTTTTGTCTGTCTCTCTCTCTCTCTCTGTCTCTCTCTCTCTCTCTCTCTCTTTAACTCTATCTCCTGCTCTATTGGTCTGTTCTCACACTTGCTATCTCTCTCATTCTTCCTTTCTATGTATTTTGTTGCCTCCCTCATTCTCTTGTCACTATCAGTCACTCTATTTCATCCTTACTCTCTCTCTATCCTGCACTCTTTTACTATATTTTATTAATATATTTTGATGTATCTGGAGGAGTTAAAGATTATTTTCTAATTTCTGTTTCGTAGTTATGTTCTGTTTATGGTTTATCTAAATGGAAATTAGGCAATATTGGCTTGGTCAACAAACTGCATGCATTGTGTGTTATGTGTAGTTGATGAAAATGTTTTTGGTTGTATGTATAATAGTCAACATGATGCTGTTTGATGTAGATGTACTTGCATGTTACAAGCTTCTGACACACAGGTGTAATGTTTTACTTATTACTATTTCAGCCATCCTCAAATACTGAGAAGAAAGAGGGCCCCCGTGCTCAGGCCCTGCTGGATCAACCCCCTACCTCCACCACACCCCCTCCTGATGCCTCTACTCCAACCTCCAAGTGGAACCAACCCGCCCCTTTCTTTCATGGTCCTTCATCACATCACATGGGGACAGCTCCATCAACTCAGCCTCCACAAGAGATGTCTAGCTATTCAAATGGGTACGGCAGATTTTTGGCTCCTGTTTAAAATTGTCAAATGTGAGAGGGGATGAAAACAGTTGTTTGATAATAAAATACAGATTTGTTTTTTCTGGGTTGGGGTTTGACTTTGACCATTCATTTAGTGAACAACATTCAGTTATACTGATTGCAGGGTTGAATTTATTTTGAAGCATTTCCAACATTTGCCAAGTACTATGTTTGAAATTCAATTTTAGTCACGTTTTGGTTAGCTTCAATTTCTTACGTCTTATGTTTTGTTCTCATTATTCTGTGAACCAGGAGGCCTCAACCTATCCGTCCAATCAGCAAGAAGCTTCCAGATAACTTCCGTAACCTATCAGGTGTGGTCTATGGGGAGGAGCCAATCATCAAAGGGTCAATGTCAAATCTCTCGCAGACATGGGTATGTAATTAAGTCACTAAAGCACATGGCGTTTTCAAATTATTATTAACTATTCTTTTCATCAAATCGATTTTCTGATATTTATCAAGCTCTGAAAATTCTTATTTACAATGTTCATTCCAAATTTTATTACATAAGCAGTTTTCTTTTTTGTATATATTTTTATCTGTTATATAACGAAAGGGTGTACTTGTTTTTTGCATATGTACATGCCCTTTATAGTATTTGGTCAGAATAATCGATGGAGGACTCATAATATGTTATTTTTTATTTACCAGTCGGCACCATACAGGACACCAGGTGATGGTCAGAGAACAAGGCATCTTCCTTCGTATGAGGATCACATCCAACGTCATTCTCCTCCAGTCTACCGCAAGCTCCAGGCCAATGGTCAGAGCCCACCAACCAGTGGCTATGAATCCAGAGGCCGTAGCTCTCCCAAGACATTACCTCCATCTCAGGGATTCCAGAGGTATTACCCGTCATCTCGCACCCAATTCCCTGACCAGTACAACAATGATGCTGGCTTTCATGAACAGTATATAGATCCAATGGATAGAGGGCAGCTCTTCATGTCGCAGAGTCTGCCTCAGCCATTAGACAATCAGGGTTCACTTCAACGACTGTACAACAGACCAAATCACAACACTGCCTTTGTGCCCATTCATGCGTCAAATCCTATGTATCCCATGATGCCCGGTGGTGGTATGAACGAGGAGGCATTCGCCATGCAGCAGATGGGGTACGAGTATGATGTGCCTTACAGTGAAAGCTCCTCGCGGTCTCACACCCCTCCCTTGCCCCCACTCTCACCGGACATTACCCCTCCAGAGACCCCACCAGACTCACCTACAGTCTACAAGAAGAACAGATCATCATCCAGCCTCTATGTGACCAACACCCAGCCCTCACCTATCAACCCAAGGAGAAGCAGAGGTGATAGCATGGGCAAGCAGAGGAAGAGCTCAGTGAACAGGAGTCATAGTGCAAACTACAAGCTTGGAGACTCTAGGTCACCACTGAGGAAGAGTGGTGGTAAAGGCAGGAGGAAAAACAAGCATGGATCAAGGAATAGCAGTAGAGCAAGCAGTTCATCAGGGAAAGAGAGCCGCAAATCAAGTGCACCAGGTAGAGGTGCGTAAACATCTTATTAAAACATAACTTTAGAGTGGAGATCACTTTTAGATGTTCTATCAACCCTGTCTTAGTGGTCACCCATATGTATATTTTTCTTCTTGTGTTAAAAGAATTACGTAGGTTTTACAGAAAACAGCAGAACCTGTCTTGGAAGGCCTGTTTGAAGTGGCCCCTTTATCTGTTTCCCTTGCCTGGCCATTATTTACCAAGATTTGGTTGTATTAGTTGTGTATACTAATACAACAGATTTGAATAGTCAAATCTATATCATAGCGTTGTAAAGTGTAGATACATGTATGTGTAGATCAAAAACACTACTATGTAATGCATTTAGAGAGAGAGTGGGGAATTTTGTATTGATTTAGTTGATAAAGATAACTTAATAAAGATTTGATCTCCTTTGATATTGAGCAGTGCCACCTCTGCAGCTGAATCAAGTACAAGAGCAGACAGAAGCATCAGACAGTGATATAACCCCCAAGCAGAAGGCATCATCCAGCATGTTGATACCTGATGATGATGATGAGAGGGAGGAGGAGCTTCCCCGTGGCAACCCATCTAGATCCTCATCAATGGTCGGGAAGGAGAACCAGAACATGGAGGCTGTCAGGTCACAGCTTCTAGCTCTGGAGGGAATGTATAAAGAAATACTGGGTGTAAGTACTGCATTACCAATTGCAAACAAGCTAGGTTGTGTAATATATTTCTTAAATATTCATGCCATGAACGAAAGAGGGTGGATAAAATTTTGATTGCGTAACATATGAAAGATGATTTACCTGAAATCAATAGACAGTGTGCATTAAAGCTAGTGATGTAACAGAAAGATGAAATGATAATGTATACAAATATTGTTTATGCAATATAAAAAATATTTTTTGAGACTTAATTATTCACTTTGCATTTAGTTGATACAAACATTTCTGAAATTTGAAGTTGACATTATTTCCTAACAGTTGATGCTTGATATGATGACTTTGCTTTCAAACTTTACATTGTTTATGTTACAAGATATCTCTGTATTAATTTGCAGAACCTATAATCATTGACAGGTCTAACACTAATTAGTATAAATAAATCCTTACTGTACCTCAACTTTAGTTTATTTCTATTTACTTTTCCATCCACCAGGTGATTGGCTCCAGCAAACTGGAGAGTGATAGCCCTAAGTCAGGAAGTAAGACAACTGTTCCGTCGAGAACCATTGGCAAACCAAAAAGTGAGTTACCCTTGCTATTGCACTAAGTGGAAAAGAATTTTAGTATCCTTTACATTTATTGAGTTATTTACTTTAAAGAGTTCTTTATCCAATATGCAGACGATTCCTTAAGGACATTGGATTTACAATACATTGAATATTATTGATGATTTTTTACAAATTAGATTGCATGATATTGTTCACACATTTATAAGGATCCAATTTACTGGAACCATAAGAGGCTTGCTATTTGGTTCGAAAATGTATATTGCATATTCATTGTTTCTTTCATACTGACGAATTACAGAAAAGAAGACACTTATTAACTAGAATTTTATTAATTTCTCATCAGATTCAAAGAGACAATTCAAAATTCCTTTTCTCTCACCTATAGATAACAAACTTTCCACCAAACAACGTGAGAGGGATATCAAGACAGTCAACAAGCGTTTCTTGCGAGTAGAGTCTCATGTCGTCACACTAGCTCGCAGTGTTGCTCACTTATCGTCTGAGCTACGATCTCAGAATGCTCTGATCCGAGAGATTGAGGCATTGAGGATTGAGGTGAATCAACTGAAGGATGTTGCATACTTCAATCATGATGTCTCGGTTTCATCTAGGAGTTTACATAGGCCATTTGTTCCACAGTGTGCCAACCCACAGAAGATCAAGAAACTCACCAAGTAATTTTTACATCTGAAAATTGTGTGTAGGAGGGAATGTAGTTTTATAATAGTTTCATCAGAATATAGTTTATAGTTGTGTAGCATTCATTTTGTTGACATACTTTTGCATTTAAAACTAATTTGCTGTCCCCACCCTGATTTTGACAAATTAGATATTATTGATTTACGTGACAAAAGCTGCCTCAGAAAAAGATAATAAACTTGCACATAAAGTTATTTACATTTCATTATCCTGTGAAAATATATTTTACTCAATGAGAAAAGTAGTGATTTTATGTATTTTTCATCATTTTCTTTCTAGATTCTTTGGAGAGGAGCCTCCTTTATTATCAATCTTCCTGAAGGATCTTGGCTATGAGGTGATTATCATATTTTATCATATCTTGAATTTTGTTTTTGTCTTTGAAGTTCTTTGAAACAACCAAAGAATATGGAATTTGGTCATATTAAAAGAATTTATTTTTTACAGTAATACCGATCTTCTAGATTCAAGACTCACTGCTCTAGAATGATTCACATCTGCACCTTTTCTATAAGAACAGTGTGTACCCTTTACCATTAATTGGAATGACCTTATTTGGTCATTTATGTTGTTTATGAAGAGCATTCATATGTTTCATTTAAAACAGGGCTTAATAGAACGGAAGTGATGATCAGTTGCATATAAAATATGTGGAATTGATGGTAGAAAGATTTTAGTAATAATTACAGTCTTCTTCCTGGCCATAATGTTGCTGTATAAGCCATGCTCCAGCAACAATTACTCCTTTGTCAAATTTCTACTCTAATTTCCATTTTGTACTTTGACCCTGAAGCAGGCATTATACTTAACCCTAACCTTTAATCTCAGACAAAATGAATCCTGGAGTAAACAGACCATCCCATGATGTAGATAACTTACCTCTTCACCAACGTTTAACCTTAGTTATATTCCTTTCTTCACATGCAACAGAAATATGACACCAACTTTTTGAAAGCCGGGATATCGATGATAGAGATGCCATATCTTAGTGAAGAGAAGCTTGAAAACATTGGCATACCCATCGGACCTCGACTACGGATCTTACAAGAGGCACAAGTAATGATCTGAGAGGATCGTTCTGCGCGAGAACAAAAAACTTATGACAAAGGTGCTGGAATCCTCCATAAAAATGGTTCTACATCATAACGGCAAGACAGAGACTTTTATTTGGAATCATCACTGTATAACATAGATGTGGGAATCATTATGAAGCATTCAGATCATCCGCCGTGCAGTCTTCATTGAAGACCTACTTCCAAAGAGATGCAAGGAAATCAAATCTGCAAATGAGGCATCGCCTATGCATCAGACAAAGCTTCATGGATTACAATCTCTGAGAAATATATTTCACAAAGAGAACTCTTCAAGAGAAATTTCTCTGCTCAGGAGCTTATAAATGATGATCATAATAATGTCACATCAAATCTGAGAAACGAAGCCTAAATTTAAGATGTAATCGAAATTCTTCTATTCGTTTGACAAGCAGAGAGTGTTTTGGTTCAAGCAGATTGATCTTCTTCCGATTGCAAGCAATGTATGTGCTTCAACAGAATGTAGTGTTGTAATATTTTAGTCACGGTACACCAAATTTTTTCAATATAAACCACCAATAATGAGAGTACCAAAGTAACTATTTTTCTAGTAAAACCTTCCTGGCTTTCTCCATATTTTTATGTGCTGAGTGTTCTCTACAGATATGTATGCAACTGGGGCTAGTAATATTTGCTATTACTTCAAAGCACCTTCATTCCTTCCAAAATTATCTGCTAACATTTGTTATAATATGTGCTATCTGCTTCAAGTCACTTATGATTCCATTTGTGAATAAAACTGTATGCGTTCAACCACATTCCATTAGATACTGTGATGTAATGAGAGGGTTATTTATAAAATATTGTGTATTTGAAATTGTTAAAGAATTTTTGTTTTTAATGGAAATAATGTTTGTTCCTAGCTCTTGTATTAACTGTGAATTATGCACTTCAATATTTTGAATTTATTTATTTATTATTAATAAATATGTGGATGTATAGAATCCACATTTTTCATCTTTTGTATTTCCTTTGCGCAGAACTGAAATAATTTGTATAGTTCTCACATCTCATCATGTACATGTGTAGTACTTTCTTTGTATATCACTTCTTATTTATGTTTTCATTACATGTACCGGTAGGTTAAAGGATTGGTCTGTAGTAATGGTTTTTTTTTATTCTGGTGTGTGGAATCTTTAGATTTAACTTGTATACTTTCCAGTTTATCTCCATAAGCGAATGCAGTTCTATTAGAAATAAATGTGTGTCTATTCTCCCTCTAAATCCACTATTCTACTTTAATAATGTGTCTCAAATTAATCTGATATTGCACAATGGTTTTAGGATGTCTTGGGGTATGGGTAATTTTTTTAATGAAGAATCCTGTTCTACAGCTGTGTCTAAGTGTCTTTGGACAGTATCCATGAAGCTTACTATTTTGGGTTCCACAAATATATAGAGATCATAAAGAGTCCCTCTCTTCAACATACAAGCATACAGTTTAAGACAAGAAAATAAGATAGTGTTATTTTTATTTTTTACTTGCCAATTTAATTTGCCCTATGATTTCAAGACAATTCATTGAGGTAAACAATATATTTGTTAAAGCACTGTAACAGGATACACCAATCAAGGGATCACTGTGATGATAAATATCTATGCAAGTCACACATTCTTGAAACCATAAAGTATTAAATATATTCACCATCAAATGATGAGTGTCTGTACCAAATACATGTGTAGTATTCTGAGGAAAGATTAAGCATGCAATTATCAGGAAATTGTTTTCTTTTATCAAATAATCATCACTATAATTGTAATCTTTGCATGAAAAAGATTTTGTATTCAATGATTCAAATTCTATTTTATAAACTTTGATTATTTCAATTTGTAACCACTTGTCTTTCCATGTAACATGACATTGACACCTGAAAGTGTAATCAACAATGTTACTAAAATCCATGCAAAAAGGGAAAATCCCAACAGAACTTGCATGATAATGTTATCTTTGAAATCCTTCAGATTACGTTTAGGATTGTGACACAACACAAATGTTTGTATAATGAAAAGATGGTATAGATTTGGGGGAATGTCATACAACAATTTGTCTGCCCTAATCCCTCTTTACTTTAATATATCCAAGACGGGAAAAGTATGTTTTTGGGGTCTTGAAGAAGATACATCCTGTGTTTGTATATAATTTGTACATTTTTATAATGTAAGTATTCTATTTAATGCTGTGTATAGTTTGTACATTTTTGTGAATTTATGAATAAAGACGAATCAATTAAATAAACAAATATGTGGATGATTTTTTTCAATAATTTTGAGCGGGATTGGGATCTTCAGTTTAAAATGTACAAACTTATGACATAAACTACAGATTATACAAGATGGATTGTTCCCCTAGTATTTATTCCCCCCCCCCCCTTATACTTTACGTCATGTAATTTCTATCATATTTCCTCAAAATATAAAATCTACCTGAAAATAATCACAAATCACATATTTTCTACTTGGACAGAAAAGAATTAAAACCTGACAACGAGATCAATGTTTATGATATTTATATTTATAACACTTTATATAGAGACATTCACACTATACCACACATCATTTACAAAATAAAATAAATACATTAAACCTGTATATATATTTTTTTTCTTGGGCTTCAAGGAGAGGCAGAATTTAATCACTGCCCAATTGAATAAAATACCTTAAAGTACGTAGCATATCAATATAACGTATCATATAACTAATACGAGTAGGCCCATCATTTAAACCTACAAATGTAGAAATGTAGAAAATATCACACGTCATAAAACCAAGGCTAAAAATAAACGGGCCGAGGGGCGATTTGTCAAAAGAAAATTAATTTAAGACTTGCATATACCACTTGCAAATTTGAAAGAATCAATTTGTTTTTTCAGCATAAAGCTACTACTCACTAACCACTAATGATGATATGTAAAACTAAAACTTGCTTTAAAAATTTCACAATCAACATCCCAATTGCACAAAACTTGAAAAGTGTGGATATCCATTTTAGTAACCTACTCTAATCAATTAAAAAATAGACTGAAATATATAAAACAGTTTGTACAAAAACAACAACAATCCTGATTCATGACTGAAACAGCACTCAATTTCAGATTTGAGTCCAACAATAGCACCTGCAGAAAGGTTAGAGAAAACGATTCTCAAATACCGGTACATGAGCATTGGGATGGAGGGCTTTCTTCACAAGTCTGTCATAACATGAAGTTCACTGACATCCCAATGTATATGCTTGGTATAAAATTCACATGCATTTCAATGTGACTTTGCCATGGTGGTTTTATGAGACACTGACTAGGACTGACTGAATCTCATTCTAAACCGCTGCTAATGTCATGAAGATTTGTTTAGAATGCAAGCACTGGAGTAGCAGTAGAAAGCGCTATGAACTTCATCCCCAATTTTGACTCTAGGAAAGCAATGAGTTAATACATCTTCTTCACTGTTTGTATGATATAGGCCATGAATTGATATGCTCACAGAAGCACACTATAGCCATAATAAATCTCTAACCTAATCCTCTTTTGTTTCAAAGAAGAAAAATATTTTCAAATAAGATCTATATAGATGACATTAAAAATGGTAAAATCATTTTGACAATGACGTTTTTCCTTACCTTACCCTTCTTGTAAAAGGAGAGGACAGATACAAAGTGTGTATTTATAATTAATGATTTAGATTCCACAAAATTCCAAACAAGTCTCACTGCCAACTTCACATATAGGCTACATGTATACACTACTTTCTGACAATATGGCACACATAAGTAATTGTTTAACTTGAAGATTATAAGTTGTACAAGCAAGGTACACAGTCCAGCATATCTATGCAAAATGTATCTATTTCACCCCATTCTATCAACTTTTGTTGCATCATCATCAATGTACATACATTCTTTCCACAAACATTGCTCAAAAGTTACAGGTGTATCAACATTTGGTTTCACAGCAATTAAGAGCTTGAGTATGTGTTATAACATTACTGTGTTGATGAGGAAATTATTATATCAAATTTTTTGACAGAGAATCTGTGCCAATAACAGCACGAATCAAGACTACATCACATTGAACTAGGCAAACCTAGAGCAGTCCTTCAGTAGACTCAAAGACCTGTAGTCTCTGGATTGCCGAGTCAATTATACATGGAGCCCTTGGCAAGATTGGGTTCTGGTCCCATACAGTTAGTACTCTCTGGTCCCATTACCAGGGTGGTATCACTTCCAGTCCTCGCCACAGGTCCCATGATATTCTCTTTATTTGACCCAGACAGGTTGTCAGGATTTGGTCCCATGTTCTGCGTGTAATCTTGCCTGTAAAATTGAATTACATTAGCATGCCGTTATAATGCTGTTCTCAATATCCATACATAATAAATTCAAACCATTATATGAAGGCTGTACAGGTGAAACAAGAAAAGGTGGTCTTTTTATGGTCTTCATAACATGTTGTCTTTAATACATGTTTCAATCAGAAGAAGAAAAACAAATTATAGGGGAAACTAGATGGAATTCGACTGCGCGCAGTCGAAAATGATGCCTCCGTCATAGAGCAATTTTACAAACCAAAACAGAAGAAATTTTTCAAATTCAAGTTCAATTGTAATCCATTAACAGGTTCTCAGAATATCGTGATTACAAACAATTTCTCATATACATATATGACCCTTTGAACTTTGACCTCATGATCCTAATATCTACTCAGCTCATTGGCTCTGCAAGATATCCAGAGTTAAATAGTAATCCATCTGTCAGTTCTAATGAGAATGCGTTCACAAGCTATTTTTGCATACATAATGAGCCCATGACCTTGGACCTTATGAACCAAGAATCTACACAGTTCATTGGCTCTGCAAGATACATAAATGATCTAAGTTTGGCAGGAATCCATCAATCTGTTCTAATGATAACGCAATCACAAGCTGTTTTTGCATACATAATGGGCGCTGTGACCTTTGACCTTTGACCTCGTTACCCAAAATCTAATAAGTTCATCGGCTCTGCAAGTAACATACATGACCTAAGTTTGGCAGGAATCCATCAATCGGTTCTTGAGATAACGCGATCACAAGCTGTTTTTGCATACATAATGAGCCCTGTGACCTTTGACCTTTGACCTCGTGACCCCAAAATCTAATCAGTTCATTGGCTCTGCAAGATACATACATGACCAAAGTTTGGCAGGAATCCATCTATCGGTTCTTCAGATAACGCGATCACGAGCCGTTTTGCATACATAATGAGCCCTGTGACCTTTGACCTTTGACCTCGTGACCCCAAAATCTAATCAGTTCATCGACTCTACAAGATACATACATGACCAAAGTTTGGCAGGAATCCATCCATCGGTTCTTCAGATAACGCGATCACGAGCTGTTTTTGCATACATAATGAGCCCTGTGACCTTTGACCTTTGACCTCGTGACCCCAAAATCTAATCAGTTCATCGACTTTGCTAGATACATATATGACCAAAGTTTGGTAGGAATCCATTGATCCGTTCTTCAGATAACGTGATCACGAGAACGGGACGTACGTACAGACGTACGTACAGACGTACGGACGGACGGACGGACGGACGGACGGACGGACGGACGGACAACCCGAAAACATAATGCCTCCGGCTACTTCGTAACGGAGGCATAAAAAGGGACAATATTTTACCTAGGAACTGTGATTTTGACTGAAACATGAACAAGCCTATAAAAGCCTTTTATAAATGGCCTTTAAAACAGGTGGTGGACAAAGCAGATTCAACTGACATTTGAAAGGTAAGCATACTGTTCTATTCATACTCTTGAAAGTACTTTAATCACTAAAGGAAACAAAATTATAGATGAAATAGATTGTAATATTTTCTTCATGAATGATATAACTTGAAAGTTGGGTCAAACTGACTATCACTGACACACACATGACTTGTGAGATCTACCCTTGTAGAGATCTCTTTCACTAGATGTTTAAGATGTTTACAGATAGGTTTTCCCTCAACCACGCCCCCCTCGAGTAGAAAAACAAAAAGAGGGAAAAATAAAGAAGAATAGAGAGAATAAGGGAAAAATCAGGAAAATAGGGATAAAATCGGGAAGAAGAAAAAAATCGGGTAATCATCAGGCCTGTTTTAATGGCATCCTTGCAGGTTCTATCCTCAAATAAGAGGAAAATAAGGCAACATATTTACAACACTTCAACAAAAATTATAAAAACTGTGTTTTTTAAACTGGTACAATTTCTTGACAAACCCAATCAACTTGAATATTTGCTTTTGGAAGGAATCTTTTTTCTTCTTCACTAATGCCCCCCAAATGTGCAACTTACAGGAGATTACTTCTGTCTGGTCCACTGATCAGGGTTGGGTCTGGTCCTTTAGCCCCTGTGATACTGGAGTTATATGATGCAGGGCCATGTTCACCGTATCTGAAATGAACAAATACGTTTATCATAAACAGGTTGGTTTTCCTGATGAATTTGTAAATAATAATAACAAGTCAACGCAAAGCGTAGCATCCCCTCGCAGGGTACAAATGGCCTATATACGTCAGAACAAGTTACCTCCATTAGACTGAACTATTATACTACTAGGCAAGGAAGTTACTAATACATGGGGATTGGATGTACAGAAAGTTTACTACTTTATGGAATGACCCATGAGAAGATCTGAAAATAAACTTTATTGTAATTGGTGCAAGGATTTAAAAAAAGAATGTGAATAAACTATTTTTGCATATTTAATTGACTATGACCTTTGACCTATGTACTTCCAAAATCAAATTCAGGCTGTATTTTGATACCATGTACCTTCATATCAAATTTCATTAAAATCCGTCAAACAACCAGATTTGTTACGGACAGACGGACGGCAGCGTTTCTATATCTCTTCTCTCTGACTTGTTGGCGGGGAAAAATAATATTGGGTATTCATATAGCTCACATATCCACTGTGACCACCAAAAGTGATCGAGGAGCTCAACTATTAACCTTGCTCTGCTAGGCTACCGTTTTTGGTGCTCGCAGCATTTAAGGAATCCATTCCTACTGGTACTCATTTTACACCTGAGAGTGGTAAATGTAGATTAATGTCTTGCCAAAGGACTTTAGTGCTGTGGCAGGACTCGAGCCATGAATCATGTGACCCATATCCAATAGACAACGGCATCTCTATATATTTCACTCAAATCTAGATTTAGAGCATTCAATTCAATGCGACCCATGATCCTCTGGTTGAAAAATGATCCAAATCTGGAATATGGTCCTTTAAATCACATATCCATGAATCCATTTTATTCTGCAAAGTTCAAAGTTGAATAATAAGCATGATTGATCACCAGCCTACTGTGTTAATTTGAATGCCAAGATCCATACAAATGTGCTCAATTTTGCAATTCAATTACCTCTACAGAATTGTTTCTTCCTATATAGATGAATTTGTATGTTCCAATTTATAAAGCTTCTGAGCCCGCTACATAATGGCTTCTATATGCTTAACATGTGGTTAACATGTGTGTGATAGGAAATAGCCTAAAACTTGAATACTAGTCAATGCATTTGAGTGAGAAAGAGAATAAATCAACGGCAAAAACTTGTATAATATTAGTAGATGGAAGGTTCTTCAGTCATGACATTGAGAGTTTCAGATTATGCTCCTCTCCTTATAGGGCATTCAATAAATCGACCTAGCACATGCAAGCATTCAACTACAGGCTTCTTTTTGATATCTTTTCATAAAGTACGATTGTATTAAGTCCACCCATAAGCTATAAGCTATAGTTATACATTCCTCATATCCCAAAAAATACATGATTAAAAATGAAACAAAAATTATATTTCGAATGTGAAAGGTAAGTGGTAAGCGTTAATTTGATAGAAATTTACAAATTTTACTTAATAAAATTCTTACTTTGATCCAATTGGTGTATGGTGAGCTTGTTTCTTGGGACCAGTAGCTGTCTTCTTTGAGGGCATTGCAAATCTGAAAGGATATCCGAATGAATATTTATTAAAATAAAATAATTTAATGTTATATATTAAAATTTATTATTTACTCAAGATTATGTATGCATAATGGGCATTTCAGCAGGAAATGTGATAGCACTAGTTGTAAATATTATATTGCAGACAACAACTTAAATCAAGTGAATTTTAGATGAGGATATGGAAGAAATCCCATGTCTCAACATTTTTAACCCAATAAATACTAAACCCTAGATTTCTTGGGAATAATACAATCAGGAAACGTTCCTCAAATCATACAATTTTTGGTAAGAAAATATCATCAATCTAGAATGAAACGAATTAAAAATGAATTCACATTTAGTGATGGTATATCATTAACACTTATACATACATCGTGAAACAGTCACTTTGCAATTTAATCCAATATAATGGGCAGATCACTAATCAGACGTAGCACTGACAATATTTGGTCATATAAAGACTTCCTTTCAACTGTAAAATACACTGAAAAAGAAACCATTGAATAACTTCTCACATTGAAATGAATCTAGACGACTATTCACATGTATCTACCTTATAGTAGGATCCCATCCATAGTAAACCAATAGTAGGCAGTGTCTGCCCAGCAAGCTCTCCAAATAAACATGTGATATGAGCTATCTTTATCAACAGATAATCCTTATGAAATGTCCATCACGTGGAGACATTTTCCCAAATTGAGATCAATCAAACAAAAAGCAGGAAGGTGAAAGGTAATTCATTGACTACAACAACAATTTAGGTCATGAGTTTCAGCCTTCAGGATCATTTGCTACAACCAATACTTCCTCATTAGTATGGATAACTGTTGGCAGGAAACTCTTTAGTATTACACAATTGGCTATTTAAAAAAAGACCTACATGTAACCTTTGTACCTGTTCTTGTTATGCATATACTTTTAGTGATAAAAGCTATCATGTGATGTTGATATTTATACCAGTTAATTTATACAATCACAGTTTAAGGAGCTCAAATGATCTCTAGGAAAGTAGCATGTAGTGGGTTAAATTAAGCAGGGCTTCACACAAGCAAATGGAGATCAGATGTAGACAAACAAGATGTTTGATTGGAAAGTGATCACTTTTATTTTAATTCTTTCTTTCAATGAGGACGGTTACAATTAAAAGGAAAAACTTTTCACTTTCAGTTAGCAGGTTGTATTTTACTTGAGTTGATTTAGGCCACATAAATGTAATTTAAACAATTCAGAAAAAGAGTAAAAGTGACAATTACTTGAAATACACAATTTTATTTGAAATGAGAACATTTGTGATTGAAAAATAAACATGTGGTGATAACATTTTTGATTGACAAAATAGACTACAAATTCACTTGAAATACATCTGATTGTATCAATACTTAACCTGAAGACATCAATATTCCTTGATGTACATATTTGTCAAACTTACTGGAAATACTAACAGACAGTAAAGGCATTTAACCTGAAGGCTGCTAACATTGAGTGAGAAAAGTGAGTACATTTTGAGGTTTCAAACACACTTGTACCACTTTTAGATTTAAAAAATTTGGTGCATGCAGTATTAAAGTATTTAAAGTCGGACGGGGGTGTGCGGCTGAGACCTCCGAACCCATACCCACATCCAAGGGTCCTTTTGCTGTAAATAGGTACCCATATCTAAGGATTTTTTGTGAAAAATGGACCCATGTTTATAAGGATTTCAAACTTTAAATATTACATTTTTTAAGCTGTAATAATACACTCGAGCTAAGCATAGATAGAGTCAACGCTAATGCGTATTGACCTCTAGCACTGCACTACGTGTTAATAGGCAGCATTTAAATACATGAATAGTCAATACACTCATAACACACAGATGCACACAATCATGCTGATACGGCTGATCGGCAAGTTTGACAGTCGTCACTAAAGTACCGATTTTGAGTGAAATTGGTTGAGTTTTGTACATTGGTGTTTGAAATGTTGAGAATCAATAGCAGAGCTTTTAATACACAGCCAGGATAGTAATGCACCTATGTGTGTAATAATACAATGACCAATCATTTTGCAGTTTCTCGATAAAATTCTTTATTAGTAAACTGTACCATACTACATGTAGTTTACAAGTAGTCTACACACATAAAGATGAAAACACCATACAACATAATTATACTGTGCTAGCACCTCTAGCATCTGTTTTAATGGAAGGACTTTTCCTGTTTTAATTAATGTACACATACACAAGCTCTCAAGCATCGGTGATATAGCTCCCTAGCCCTGCTTGAGCCCCGCTGCTGCCCGGCCTGGCGCGGCTGCATGCTGGGCAGAGGGTATGCAGGGTATAGCTGCCGATCATATGATTTTCAGTGCGCAAAGCGCTACAAGTTCCCGGGGGTACTACCCCTATACGGGTGGATACCATACCTAGCGCGCATTATGCCATATGAGTACCCGGTATAGGGCCCATGCCTGAGTCATGTCGGGATTTTCATAAACCGGGTCCCGACGGCCTTGCACCGATCGGGACCCGGTGTCCCGAAATCAGCTCGCAGGATTTGTCACTTGCCTCTATAAAAAGCGCATATCATCAGTATGTCCCTTAAAAGTGACCTTTTTTTATCAATCAAATTAATAAACACATGCATACCTCGGCTCAGATCGGTATATTCTTCTATTTGACATTATTTTCATCCATGATTGGCGATGTTTAGTGCCATTTTCGTGCCTCTAAAAGTAAAAAAACTGGGGCAGAAATGGAAAGACAACATTCGAGCCGCCATTTTGTTTTATGCAGGTTGAATAAATCTGGTCAAAAAATATGAATGTTATAATAATAAAACGGCTTTCTAAAATTTCTTCTGTACAATATACCGATCATATAATATTTTAAAGACAAAATAAATATTTATCACTTATTTTAAACATCGCATGCTTTTTTTTTAAAGCTGAAAATTACTTGGTAATCAAGAGTTTCGATACGGATAGCCGTTGCAAGGCAAGTTAAGACTAGTCTCGGAAAAATGCGCATGCTCCTCGTAATTAGCTGTAATGTGTGCCAGAACGAACCCAAACAAAGACGTGATCGTAACGAGAACAAAAATCATTAAAAACTACGAGAGCACAATTGGAAAGACAACTACTGCTCAAAATTACCATAATCAGATAGATAACTTGGACAAAGAATTCAATAATCGCCCAAGAAATGCCACAGAAATTGTGATAATCGAGGAGTAACTGGGTACATTTTTATCGCAAGAAGCCTGCTGCAAATACTCGAATCCTTTGTTATACTGCTTTTTACCGTAGAGGGCGGTATTTGCCTCGTATAGCCTCGTGTTCAATTTAAACACGTGTAATTCGGATATTGCAGCAGGCCCTTCCGATAATGATTGTACCTATAGTAACTCCTTAAATATCACTATTTATGTGTCTTTTCTTGGACAACTATTGTTTTCTTCCTCCAAGTTATGTATCTGCTTACGATAATTTTGAGTAGTTGTCTTTTCAATTGTGCTCTCGTAGTTTTTAATGATTTTTTTCTCGTTACGATCACGTCTTTGTTTGGGTTCGTTCTGGCACGCATTACAGCTAACGAGGAGCACTGCGCATTTTTCCGAGACTAGTCTGAACTTGCCTTGCAACAGCTATCCGTATCGAAACTTCTTGTGATTACCAAGTAATTTCCAGCTTTTAAAAGAAGCATGCGGTGTTTAAAATCAAAGAAAAAATATATATTTTTGTCTTTTAAAAATTATTCGATCGGTATGTTGTAAAGAAGTACTTTTTAGAAAGCCGTTTTATTATTCAAACATTAATGTTCCTTTCAACCTGATTTATTAATCCTGCCGAGAGACCCGGCCAGTACAGTAGCTAGCTAGCAGCTGGGAACAACAACCACATCGGCCGGGCGAACTGCATTGCAACCCATATTTATATCACTTATCAGCAGTAATTCGGATTGATTCAGGATGAGCTAGAATATGATTATGGTAACCATTAAATACTTAAGTTTTAAGGTGGATTGATTTTAGTGGTGTGCAAAACTGCAATTTCTTACATATTTCGTTATATTTTTCGGAGCGTCGGTTCTCAAAAAACGAAACCGGGACCCGACGGCAACGGTCGGGTCCCGGTGTGATCAACCGTACCGACTCAAGCCTAGTCCTGATATATGTCGTACCCCGGGGTCTAGTTGACTTTACAAGCTACGTACACCCCATGCGTACACCTCATACACTGGAAATGCAATCACCGAAGGATTCCCCAATATTGTTTAGGGCTTTAAGCCCTGGATTTATTTAGAGATGGGAGAGATTTAAGCATTTACAATGTAGGCTTGAGTATTTAGGAGCAAATCCCAAAATCCCGGAGAAAATGAGGGAGAAAAGAGGGGGAAAGGAATATTAAATGAAAAAAGGGACCCATGTCTAAGGATTTTTTTTATGAAAAGGGGACCCATGTCTAAGGAACTTTCCTGAAAAAAATCACCTTTCCGAGCGGCACATCCCCGTATACCCAATATACGTGAGTACCCGCCCCCCCCCCCCCCCCCCCGGGGTAATAACAGCCCTGCTGATCATAATGATTCATTCAATGGGACTGAGAATCCAACTTACTTGGAGCCTGAGGCTAAGGCCATTGGTTTCCTCGAGGATGGTGAGAAGGAGGAGGAGGATGAGCTGCTAGCAGCTGCAGCAGGTTTCTTAGAAGGTGAGCTGATCACTGCACTAGTCGTAGGACGCTTCTGAGAATCACTGGAGAAAAAGAAAGAAGAATACAAAACAATAAGAGAGAATATGGATATCAGAACACACACAAAACAAGAAAGGTTACTTGATTGTTCACTATGCGACACACTGCATACCATGATGGCTGAGAAGGATAGCATTAAGAAGATGTCACACCTGAATAATTCCCTTGTTGCAAAAATGTGCTAAACATTGTGCCAACCCTGAATACATTTCAGACTGGAAGTTTGACTGTTAGAATTATGAAATACTGCCCCGTAACAGTTGAATACACAGGGATGTAATGAGTTTGAAAACTTCTGTGTCTGCGTTTGATTCATAAAATACACAGCTAATGATTGGTTATTTTTTGTTTCTTTACACAAATCATTTCAGTAAATACAATAATACATGTATTCTACAGTATAGCAATTTAAAAAATTGTGATTATTTGGTTAATTTTGTTTTCAAGGTACAAAGATTTTTTAATATTCTTACTTTACTAGAGATCAGTATCTACAAAATCAAATAGACTTTATTGAACAGAATTTTTACAATATAAGTTACAAGTCTTAAGTCATGAATTAATAGAATAGGAATAGATAGTAATAAACAAAACCATGGGGGAATACTTCAAACATTTATATAATGATCATTAACACCAAGACAGAGTCCTATGATTTCGATTGATACTTGCTATCACCTTAAAGGCATTGTTTAACAATGTTTCCAGTTTTACAAATCTGAGATGCATGGCCCTACAGATTATCAGTGTCTGTGGTATAGTGTAATATTGAAGCCCTACAAAAATTGCGCTTCAAAATGATCCCGAAGTGCTTCGAAGAGTAAAAACTTTGAGTGACCGGTTTTACCATACTCATTTTACCCATTGTAGTGTTATAAAAACTGTTGGGAAAACGGTTTATGAAATTTCCAAGAGGTGTTCATCATATCATCCTAAAATATTAATGTTTACGGTAATTCTTCATATGTTAAGAGCAGCTGTTTTCCATACTCTAAAATAGCTGATAATGCAGGTAAAGTACATGGAAGATATTTAATAATTCATCTCAAGGAACAAGACAGAGAATGATAAAAGTCTGCACTTACGATGTAGATACACCTGATGCGCCACTTGATGTAACAGTAGTTGGGGTTGTGCTTGAAGAGGGCTTAGATTCAGGGAAAGTTACTTCTTTACCTGTTTAAAGGAGAAAACAAATTGATAGTAGTTTTAATCTATCAACTCATTCTACATGTTGTTATTTTTATGCAAATATTCATTCTAATACACAAATAATATGCACTTTTTTTTCTTCAAGTCTACAGTGGTGAAAATAGCTGAAAAACACATGAAGTGACCAACATAGAATTCTACTCAGATAAATGATACATATCATGTGCATAACTTAATTGTTTTGTGCCCTTAAAAAGAAATTCAGAATCTTGTCTTTAAAGACAATTTTGTGATTAAACAATTTAAGAGGAAAAGGATACCGTAGTCAAATCATGTACCGGTAAAAAGGAGCATTAATTTTTTACAAACTTTGAAAAAACTTACATGGTCCAAAATTGTCGTCGTAAATAATGTGCTTAATATTTAATGTAATCATTGACTTCTGTGCATATCACCAGTAGATGCATTTAATACCTTATATGGACAAAACTCATCTCAATCTAGGTACTCAGTTTTTATGTTTATATTGGGAAGTGAATTTTGAGGTAAGGTGGTCAAATTGGTAAACACACATAACTGTTCAAGCAAGAGAATACATGCAGTTGGCAGAAAAGGATGTTGAAAAGTTGGACAGTTATTGGGAAAAATTGAAGTAGAGATATACATGTATGTATGCAGAGCTGTGATAGAACACCACATATGCACATGCAATTTAACACACATGATTTATACTAGTAGAGCCTGGCTATTAATCACTTGGGGATACTTTTTATAAGACTTGTTCTTTTTCTAAAGGTAGAGTATTATGATGGATGAAATTCACCTTTTATACCAAAGAAAAATTTATCACAGCAGAGGCCGTTTTGGAATCTCATTACTTTTAAATCAACGTATGAATTGTAAAGATATTACAGGAAATTAAGGAAAGAGTTGATATAACAAAAATATTCCTTTTTTTTTTCACGCATGGAAGAGATTCTATGGATTAAAACGACCTTTGAAGCGCGTATTTTGACTTTCCCAAAGGGAACAATTAAAGTTTGAAAAGGACAGAACACTCGATACAACACGTAAATGCAAAACACTTTGCGACAAAAACAACATGCAGACACATTGTAAGCCACAGAACAACAATGAAGTATGCAGTATTAACTTCTCTCTAAAAGATAATAAATGTGTGTGTCATGCACTAGAAGAGTCAAACTAAATAATAGTTCAATAAACTGTCTGATAGAGTGCAGAAAGCTCCTATCATTATAGATATAGTCAAACAAAAAATAGAGAATTACAATCCTAAAATCTTAAATAATTTTTTTTTACAAGAATAAGGATAGAAAAAATAAACAGTGAAATGTTAACTTCATAATGGCCAGATCAAAAATCAATATGAAAAGAAAATGACTTCATAAAATGTCATTTCATATTTTTATCCTACTATTACAATTTTAGAGATATAGATAAAACATATTTGTACTGAGCCAAACAATAATTTTTAATAAAATGAAATTAATATGTCACATTCGCACAAGCAACTGCTTTAGGTCGATGATCAATCACATAAAATATCAAAACACTATTCAAGGTTACTGAAAACTGATCACTATTAAAGACCATATCCGAACTGAAAAGTGAAATAGATGAATAATATATCAACAGAAAGCTTATAAGCCATAGATTACAATAATATCAATTATATGCCACTTTAGTGTCTGTCAGAGGAGTATCAGCCCTCTGAAAAAAGCTTTGAAAATTGGAAGTTGATGACCTAAAAACTTGTTATCAACTTGATGACGAGTACGGTACGCATATTCATAATGACTTTGCATTAATTAAGCACGGCTCATCGCCTCAGCTATATAGATGTAGGTGAACCGTTTGGGTTATGTTGTCACTGTAACTTCTGCAGATTTGACCCCTGTTAACCTGTAATTTGGAGGGGGAGGTTTTAATATGCTTTTGTGCAATAATGAAAGGGTAAATACTTTGTAATCCTTTATATTTGCATTCTACATTCATTCAGTTTTCCATTTATATGAAGGTATTTTTCATCTTTTTTATTCCATTATCATTACCATGTCAACTTAAAGATAGGTATCCAGCATTACTTTTTTTTTTAACCTTTAAAAGTACAAAGGTTTAAGCAGACAATTACATATGTTTAGCTCTTTATCTTAATATTTGTGATCAGAAGTTATTAAGAACATATTGCAACTGAGGATTTTCTCACTCCATCTTTTCATTCACTTAGATAATAACCAGACTTATTATTTTGTCATGATCTAATAAACATATCATTTCTCATCAGTGCAACATTGAAGCTAACAGACAAGCAATTAACATTTACTCATAGACCAACCAAACCTGATGTAATGACCTACTGAATAATGATTGCATGTGATAAACAGTCTATCAACAACGTTTCCATTTTAATTGAAGGCAATACTCAGCAGCTCTACGATAATAACTTGCTTGCGCTGCAGAACTATCACATTTAACCAACTTGGGCATCATTTTGCAAAAGACATACGTCTAGGGTTAGGGTTTGTGTTGACATTGAGGTTTAGGTTAGGTACACTGTTGGGTCTCTAGTTAAATTAAGTAATTAAATTAGATTTATGAATATTGAGCAGTTGTTTCCAAAACATAGGTCATTAAATCATAACCATGCACATTACAGGAGAAATTTCTTTCTCAGAAGACGAATTTTCTCTGCCTTTTCACCAAAGACATCAATGTATCACTAACTCTCCCATTAGCCATCCCAATGAATTCAACACAAGATGCAGGGTTTAGTGATGATGACGTTTTATGATAATGCAAGCAGGGTAGGCCTACTACACAAAAGGAGGTGTAGGTTTGCACAGTGATATCAACATTGTTAGTATCAACTGAAGTCAAACTATGAAACAGGCAATGATGTCAACACTTCTATGCTCACTATGCTAAATATATGTACTGCCACTACGCACCTACTTGGTTGTCATACAAGTTTATTGTGAAGTTTTGAAGAAAAAAAATCACACTTTTCATGCCATGGGTGGCAAATTCCATGTAAAAATTTCACTTGTTTACTAAATATATTTGGATTGCGATATCTAGTCTTTCTTCCTGAAACAATATCAAATTTATCCATATTTATGTTTGTTCCAAAGAAGATATTTTTATTTTCATTTTCACAATAAAGTAAATAGAAAAAGATAAACTATAGACTCTTGAGAGTTCAATTATAGTTATTTTTCATAAACCTTGTAGCATTGAAGGAGTTAAATTGCTTTCAAGAAAATATAGGTTTTGTGGTGACAGGTTAAATATGAAGAGACATCGAGAAGGGTGTTAGTGACTTAAAGCCTTTCTGCTTTTCACAAACATAGAGGGAACAGTAAGACTTGCTTGAGTGAGCAGCTTGTTCCATAGTGACACTATTAGTGGTTGATGTCTCTGGGAAGGTCACTTCCACCTGGCCTGTTAATATCACTCCTCCTTCGCTCTCTGTAGATTGGCAACGCACACGGTACGACGGACCACACAAGAAATAGCATCAATCATTCAATCAATCAGTTCAACGTATGACATTCACCAACATAAATGGTAAGTAAACTTTATATAATACTCTTGTGAATGCCATTTTATAGCGAGGAATGACGCATGTTTAAATTTTACTTTGAATAAGTTTTAAAATAGAGTTTGTAGAAAATTGCTGCATGATATTCACTGGTACTTAACATAAGAAGGTACTCTTACATAAAACTTTAAAAACCCACGTTGATGAAAGGAAATGGGAGCTAAGTCAGAACAAATGCTGCTTGTAATGCTGATTCAAGATAGTTTACTGCCTATTAGATGATTTTGAAAAGCAAAACCTTTAACAAAATTTGACAGTTGTTTAAACACTCAAAATTATAACAAAATAAACCTATATATGATGCTATGTAACTGGGCATTACTGCTGGTTATCTGGCTCATGTTCTCCAATATTTATTGAGGCAACGTAAAAATCCTATCCATCCATCCTTTAAAAAAAAAGTATAATGTCATAAGAAGAAAAGTGATTAATCGCTACAACAAATTTTAAATCTTGACAAATTGTTAGTGACTCTGCCATACTTTATACAATATACTAGCACATTGTGTGAGATAATCTATAGGCACTGCCTGTTTGTACTCCTTTAGACAAATCCAGGTAATCAGTATCTTGATATCGCCCTTTAGTAAAACATTCAAATATAAGAGTGATATAATCTCAACAGTGCAATAATTTCTTAACTTGTCTTAAAATATTTCTGTCAGAGTTGCACTTCTTAAAGAGAAGGTTGAGTTCTGGGAAGAGGTAAAAAACAATTTGTGAGCGTTATCATTGTTGTTATGCAAGGGTGGAAGAACATCAGATTAAACATGTTCCCTGAAAAGCATGGCTCTTCAAATGCCTTCATATTCTAAATATGACATGAAACATCGTAACAATCGGGGGGTAGGTTTTTTTCGCCATGTGCTCGTGTAGTCCCATATACATCATTCTGTGTACAGTCCTTGTAACTTTGCCAAGATTTTGCAAAATTTCGTATCATTTTGATGATTCCAGAACCTTGCAATACACACGAATACTTATATACTAGATGATCAACCTTTTCTGACAGATTGCACACCGTTTCTTTCACAATGCAATCACATGACCAGAACTCAACTTTATCTTTAATACATAGATAGAATATAGTTTGTGTGTTTTCATCACTTCAGTAACTTAATTGGACAGCATTGAGTGAACTGACAAAAATTAAAGCACTTACCTGATGCACCGCCCTTACTTGGGCCAGACGAATCGGTCTTCAGCATACGCAGTATGGCTGACGACTTCTCTAGACTGTAGTTGGTGCTCTCAACAGCCATTTCGATCATCATATCATTGACATGAGGGAATTTCTTCTTCAAATTTGCCATAACTGCAGTGATATATGATAAAATTCATTAAAAAAGTTCTATATCAATAACACAACATCATGTCTAACAGGACCTACAATCTAGTAATTATCATTTTATTAGACTATGTAATTCAAATTGAAAGAGATATTCAATTGCAAGAGTACAGCAGCAATAATATCAACTTTCCAAACTGGAAAACCATAATCATAACAATGCTCTGTCATGGTTGAATATTGCACACATTTCTTCAGTGACACTTCTACATAACAATGGTACATTACTATTTGTGTGAGCATATATATCATTTGTTTCTTTCTATCGAGATAGATAGATAGATGGATGATAGATAAATGGTATTTTATTGCATCTTTCATGAATGGCAGTTTCACAACTGAATTGCACATGAGTTACACGAATTGGATATATACATTGTAAAAAACTTACATAACATTTAGTTAAAAATTATTAAAACGTGACACGTTACTACTGCCTAAATACCATAAACAATTAAAAAACACTTAATGAACATAATTTCTACCAAAGAAAAAAGAAAAAAGGTATAAACATAATTACATGCCAACATAATATGGACTAAGGCAAATCATACAACAGTTCGTCATGTTACAATATTGCAGTAGTGGGTATGGTGGTAAAATAATCAATGATAGCGGCAAAAGCAGGTGTATGAACATTTAGTAATATTTGAAATAATTATTCAAATTTAAAAGTAAAAAGCAATTCAATATCATTAAAACATACCGGTACGATATACACAATTATTACAAGAATGTACAGGAATCGAGTCATTTCAATGATAAATCATTACAATAAATATAAACATGAGCAAATTAACTGTTATTATACAGGCGAATCAAATTTGGAATTTATCTAATACAAAATGGATGATTCAAAACAATAACATTTCTCTCCCCTTAGAAGAGAATCTAAAACAATGACAGATGATGTTTTGCAATAAATTGTTTATTTTATAAAAATGTTTTGTAAGTTAGAAAAATGTTTGATGTGTTTTACATGTCTCCATTATTTGCTTCTTTGCAATATATGTCCCAACAAAAATGAATGAAAGATTGTGAAATAATATGGTAGTAAGCATTAATGTGCCAAGGTTTTATCCATAACTTACCTTGTTGTTTCTGTGCTCTTGTCATAGGAGCAGCTTTAGGAGCAGCTTTAGGAGCAGCTTTCTGAACAGCCAAAGTGAAAAAGAAATATGTTTTTAGTAAAACAAAAAACAAACTTGAAATCAAATGTGACCTCAATTCTTCATTCTGTGACGAGCATTCCTGCCTAGATCTTTTGCTACACATTTTATGCAAAAGATTTTGATCTCTATGGAAATAGTATATCATTTGTATTAACCCTTTTAATACTATGGGTAGCACACCTCACCAAAGCACTTTAATACTATAACATCCTATTCAGTATTAGATATATTCTTTTCTCCCAGTATAGAAACAGACAAATGCATTATCAAGTTTATTCCAATTCTGAAAGAAAACAGTTTGTTGAATAATGAAACATGAGTTTTAGAAGAGACATGAGGTATTCCATGGATTCAAACTTACCTTGGGAGAAGATTTTGGAGAGGGTTTTTTAGCCAAGGGTTGGTTGACGATCCTTTGTCCCATCTGTCTGAGGGCTATTTTAGCTTCTTCTTTGTTGAAATCGTAAGTCTCTAAGATCATGTCTACTACAGAGGATTGGGTGTTGGCAAACAAGTGTCTCATCTCCCGCTTTGCTGTAGAATAGAGTTTGTATTTTGTTATTTTAGAGTTATACAATCACTTTTACAGCCCATGTAGAGTTATGTAATAGTAATGTATTACATACTGCTTGCTCATGATCCTCATTTGGATAAAGACAAATCCCGAAGAGCTCCTTATTCAAAATGCACTGGTTTATTATGACAAGAAATACCAACTAGAGGAAAGCAATGTGAAACAAGAAAGCTATATTGTTCTGCCCCCCCCCCCCTCATTTGCTCACCATTCTATATCAAAAGAAAACAAAAATCAATCTACCATTTATAATGGCGAGCATCTTGTAATTTATCAACTACAATAAATATGAAACCATTTTTTGGTTGCTTTGTTTGGGGGGATGCTTCTGTACATGTGCTTTAGAGCTAATTAATAGAATTTGTTTTTCAAATGATCTTGTTCCCACTGAAACCGAGTAGAATTTTTGTTTTTGCTCTTTTAATGTCCTATTACTAAATAGCATATATTAATGACTGTATACAATTATAAATTCAATAAATCTTGAGCTATAGATGGATAATTCTATAGGATCAAAATCATGTCAAATGTTCAGAATATTAAGTGTGAAGTTGTTAAGGAGACTTTGTAGCATGTGAACTTACCAGCTTCCTTGTCAATTGGAGGTTCATTGAAAGTTGTCTCTAATACTGGAGGGGTCTGCAAGGAGGTAACAAAGTATGTTCAAGTTAGCGTCAAATTTAGCTTCAGTTATGATAGAAAACCAATCCAAAAGATCATAACTTGAAAAATGACAAATTAAACAAATATAATTACAGGCCTTAAATTTCGTCATTTTTAGGGCAAGGCCAGTTTGGCCTTAAAGTACCTCATTTTTTTAAGGGCACCAAGGCCACTACAAAGGGCACCAAGGCCAAAATATTTTTACAAAAAGGGCATCAAGGCCAAAAAAAAATTGATTCTATTTTTGTTAGATGTCATGTGTATTTATATGAAACTTGTGCGGGATCAATTTCCCATGACTTTTAACACCAGCTTCTTCACAGAATGTATAAAGGTCTACGGTACATACAAACAACGGCGGCGGCCCCGCAAGCCTTAGATTAAGCAGCCAGGAGCAAGGGGCAATTTTTTTTCTAAAGTTGCCCCTTGCCCACGGAAATTTACCAGAGCAAGGGGCAATTCCTTAAGAACCAGGGGCAATTTTCCAAAAACAGATAGACTAGGCCCTTAATCTAATTATAAGTTCAAACTTAGATACAATGTTAATTTCATAATGTGAATAGAACGATCAATTTAATAACTTTTTAATCTTAACAATATCAACAGAAAAGATTGATTAAGAACATCAAACTTGCATATTTTAAAGTAACTAAAAATATTGATGAGCAAATGAATAAATACATTGTAAATTTCACAAACATCGAAAGTCAGAAGGACTTGGCAAGTTTACCGGGTATCCCAAATCGAAATCGCACCTCACACACAAACCTTCCGCCACACTCTCGGTAGCTGGTAGTAGGAGCAAATTTGAAGAAATTATCTTTTTAATTGTTGTATAACCAACCCAGGGAAAAAATTAAGTTTTTCATTTCGGGGGCTCCATTTCAAATTTTTGGGAAATTTTCGGGGGCTACTTTTTCAAATTTTGGGGGCTTTTTTTTCCATTTCGGGGGCTACTTTTTCATTAATTCATAAAAGGATAGCCTAGGGGGTCTACAGTTTGTTGAGATTTGTTTAGTAGGCTAAGGTTTCGGGCTTCCAGCTTCATAATTGCCTATTAAAAAAGAAACCCCTTTTTCTAGTTCAATTAACCAAGTTTTCATGCATTGATTTGATGCAAGAACTGTGACATAATAGACCCTAGTTTGTGATTACTTCTGGCCATGAATTTTGATAATCATTTTTCAAAGTAAAGTTTTTACAAGAAAATCAGACAGTCGTTTAAAAACTTAGACATTAGTAATACTTTTACTAATTCTAAGCTCAGGTTTCGTACATCTATTCACGAAACTATATTGAAATCGCGGCAATAATGATACAAACCAACAGATAGCAATTTCAAAGTGTCAAAACTTTTTGACTCAGCTCAACTCACACACTGCACAGCGCGCAGCGTGACTCCAGGAAGCTCCAACACCGGCCGCCCCAGGCGTCCGCCTTCGGTGCCGGTGTTGGTGCCTCCTGGAGTAAACTGCAGCGCAGCGTCCGTCATGGTGATTTTGTCTGATTTTCTTTACTTTGAAGAAATGATTATCAAAATTACGTAAACATGGCGATGTTGGAAAATAATCACAAAATAGGCTTCAATTTCATACCTCTATTCATGGAAACTTTATAAAATTGCGGCAATCATGATGGAAATTGATTTCAGTTTCGCGAGAAGTGGTCTAGGTTCAGCTAATATGATCCACCAAAACAAAATCGACCGAGAAAAACTCGACCCGTACTCGATCTCGCAACTGCGAAAATGTACGTGTTTTGGCATACTTGCGTCCGACATGGTAAGCCAGGTAAGGTATGGAATATGGTTCGATTTTTTTTACGACCAATTTTTTGTGTATACAATTTTACACGGAGATTCAGCAATACGAAGCTAGTAGAGAGCTCATGGGCAGCAAACTGTTCGTGAGTCGTGTATTTTTACTGTTCTAATAATTTATGGGCGCATTTTCACAGAAAACACTTGCGCCTTGCCGTCTAGTTTTAGATGATTATGGGCGCAATTGGTAGTTTTATGAGCGCAAATTTCTAAAAAGGGGCACCTCCAGTTGGAAAAAAAGGCACGTCGGCCAGTTTGAAAAAAAGGGCACGGCCTTTTTGGCCGTGAATTTATCTTTTTTTGGGAGGGCACCACGGCCAGTCGATGGCCGTCGATTAATTTAAGGCCTGTAATTAAGATATTCTTTACAAAAATAAATGTATGGATAAATTAAAAGACTATTTTATTTTGCAAATGCAAACAAAAAACAAAGAAACAAAATAAGCATATTCTAACAAACTAACATATAAAGAGATCATTTTGTTTGAAATTCTTATCGACAAGCATTTTTAAGCATTTTTCAGAGAGCTTTACACAATTCTTTGAATTAGTTGACCAAATTCTAACTTTGCAAGAATCATGTGTGTGAGCTGTTGAATTGCAAAGAAGTAACATATGAAAAGCTCCAAACATCAATATTAAACAACTCCTTCATATCTTAAAAGACACTGATTGTAGCATACCTGTTTAGCTTCCTGCCTGCGTTGGGCTGACTGAACCCGCCGTCTCTCCCTCTCCTTCTCTAGCTTGACTTTCTGCTCTTGACGTTGCTTTTCTGCCTCCATACTCTCTCTAGCTCGCATGAGTGAGATCTCTCTCTGCTGCTCAGTCACTTTACAAGGGTTGCACATCCCTCCTTCCACATCCACCTTAGTAATATAAGATACAATATGTATCATTTTGCACAGAAACTCTCTTTGGAAATAAACTACATGTGCATAGATATGCTTAATTTCTTAACCATTTCTCTACCAATTTTAAGGAGCTCCTCAAAATTATCAAAGGAGTGTAACAGTCTAGAGTAACTGTTCTATAGGCTTACATCGATCAATGAACTAACAATTTAGCATCGATTTGAAAATAACCAATGATCAAATATAGTTGTATCATAACCAAATGAATATCTCAGTCTCGGCCTTGACATGTCTCATCACCATGAACTTCTGGCCTGACCTCATGTATCTCTAAAGGACACAAATTGTTAATTTGCCTGGAAATCTCTTGTTTTGCCCCCCCCCCCTTCAATCCAATAAACAAACGTTTATGTAAATGATATGCATACCGGTAAACAAATATTACTTCTGGTAATCACAAGAAGGGTCCCAAATATCATATTTTTCTGCAAGAAATTTTTGTATTAAAGTTACAAACATACAAAGGCAAAAAAAAAAAGCTTTTCTTTATTTCTTTTTCTTCAATCCCTTGTGTTATAAATGCACTTCAATCTATTATTTTTCTTCAAATTCTAATGTCGGAGTCATATTTGTTTTCATGATTTAGGCATTTGTACAAGTTAAGCAGCTTGTTTATCACATACCTCATTTGTCCTGCATGTTCTGCACTTAGGCTTGGTAATGGGCTGCAATGGAATGTAAGCCTGCAGATGAGAGAGAAAATCAACAACAAATGACTGATTTATTCTCATGATGACATTGGATCATTCCGAAACAATAGGAACTACACGTGATCATGCATCAATACAATCACTGGTTTCTAACTACGTCTCCCATGCATCACATGCGAATCTTTCCTAAAACACCAATAATACATGCATCTAACTGTGACTGTGGAGTAGGCTTGAGTCGGTACGGTCGATCACACCGGGACCCGACCGTTGCCGTCGGGTCCCGGTTTCGTTTTTTGAGAACCGGCGCTCCGAAAAAAATAATGAAATATGTAAGAAATTGCAGTTTTGCACACCACTAAAATCAATCCACCCTAAAACTTAAGTATTTAATTGTTACCAATCGTATTCTAGCTCATCCAGAATCAATCCGAACTGCTGATAGAAATATGGGTTGCAAAGCAGTTCGCCTCATGGGGTTGTTGTTGCCAGCTAGCTGCTAGCTAGCTATTGTACTGGCCGAGTCTCTCGGCAGAATTAATAAATCAGGTTGAAAGAAACATTAATGTTTGAATAATAAAACGACTTTCTAAAAAGTACTTCTTTACAACATACCGATCGAATAATTTTTAAAAGACAAAATATATATTTTTTCTTTGATTTTGAACACCGCATGCTTCTTTTAAAAGCTGAAAATGACTTGGTAATCACAAGAAGTTTCGATACGGATAGCTGTTGCAATGCAAGTTCAGACTAGTCTCGGAAAAATGCGCAGTGCTCCTTGTTAGCTATAATGCGTGCCAGAACGAACCCAAACAAAGACGTGATCGTAACGAGAAAAAAATCATTAAAAACTACGAGAGCACAATTGGAAAGACAACTACTCAAAATTATCGTAAGCAGATACATAACTTGGAGGAAGAATACAATAGTTGTCCAAGAAAAGCCACATAAATAGTGATATTTAATGAGTTACTATAGGTACAATCATTATCGGAAGGGCCTGCTGCATTATATCTAAACGTGTTTAAATTGAACACGAGGCAAATACCGCCCTCTACGGTAAAAAGCAGTATAACAAAGGATTTGAGTATTTGCAGCAGGCCCCTTGCGATAAAAATGTACCCAGTTACTCCTCGATTATCACAATTTCTGTGGCATTTCTTGGGCGATTATTGAATTCTTTGTCCAAGTTATGTATCTGATTATGGTAATTTTGAGCAGTATATCTTTCAAATTGTGCTCTCGTAGTTTTTAATGATTTTTTTCTCGTTACGATCACGTCTTTGTTTGGGTTCGTTCTGGCACGCATTACAGATAGCGAGGAGCACTGCGCATTTTTCCGAGACTAGTCTGAACTTGCCTTGCAACAGCTATTCGTATCGAAACTTCTTGTGATTACCAAGTAATTTTCAGCTTTTAAAAAAAAGCATGCGATGTTTAAAATAAGAGATAAATATTAATTTTTGTCTTTAAAATATTATATGATCGGTATATTGTACAGAAGAATTTTTTAAAAAAGCCGTTTTATTATTCTAACATTCATATTTTTTGACCAGATTTAATCAACCTGCATAAATCAAAATGGCGGCTCGATTGTAGTCTTTATATTTTTGCTCGAGTTTTTTTACTTTTAGAGGCACGATAATGGCACTAAACATCGCCAATCATGGATGAATATAATGTCAAATGGAAGAATATACCAATCTGTGCCGAGGTATGCATGTGTTGATTTATTTGACTGATAAAAATGTCACTTTTAAGGGACATACTGATGATATGCGCTTTTTATAGAGGCAAGTGACAAATCCTGCGAGCTGATTTCGGGACACCGGGTCCCGACCGGTGCAAGGCCGTCGGGACCCGGTTTATGAAAATCCCGACATGACTCAGGCCTACTGTGGAGTATAACATACTGATACCATAAACTGATCATTGCGCTAACATTCTAGAAATGATATGAAAACAATCAAATAAAAATACATGTACATGTAATTTTTTGAATCATTTACTTTTGTTTGGCCCCAGCCTTCACAACTTTTAGATCTTTGTTTATGCATATTAAATGGCCCTGTCATGTATACATGACAAATTAAGTTGGCTCATCATGTCATTCAAAAGAGTAACTTATGCATTATGCAGATACTGTTGCTTTATTCTTGCAGATATACAGCATTCAAAAATTGATTGCATGGGTGAGATGGGAGAGATCTGGAATTCAGATCCATTTCCACTCAAGGGTTAAAATGTAGCTAGGTCAATTAAGACTCTGATGACAGTAAATATGATTAATACCGCACACGCTCGAGCCCCAATTGCTTCTTGGTCAATTTTTGACATGAACGAAGTCTAAACCTCGCCACTAGGGAAAACCCTATACCTATGCCTAACCCTAACTCTAACTTTTACAAAAATAGCGACCCAAGACCAAGCTCTATTCCTTTGATGAAATGAAGCTCAAAGCATATATGTCTCCAGAGCAAATTAGGATCCTTTAGTGATATACATACCGTAGGCTGGGTAGGAGTTCTCTGCTGTGCCTGCTGAGCCTGATATGCAGCCTTGCGTGGGTCCACCCACTGGGTCTTCTTAGTCGCATGGTTGATGTAGAAACTATAGATAAAGAACAAATCCAAATCATGTTATAATCACTAAAGTAGTATAAATATGACTAATTTTTGGGATGTACCAGTAAAAATGAGTCCCCACAAGACGGACAACGCCATTCTGATCAGTCTTGTAAACCCTACAAGCCACTCCTACCTCATACCAACAGATATTCATAAAATAAAAAAATGTGTCTTGTGGACACTCTACCAGTGACGTCATCTAAAGCGTTTAATTGCCCAATATCCGACGGGTGTCTGTCTATCTCGCATGCGCAGATAGCCTGCCGCTGACTTGTGTTAAAGGTAAAGACCAGTATTGGAAACGCCCCAATTTCAAAAAATGAAATGGAAGCTCTTATTACCAATCATGTGAAAGAACATGTTTTGAATAATACATGATGATAAAAAATTGATATATTTGGTAAATTAGTTTATCTATTGGTCTGTGAGAGATAAAAAAAAACGCACGTGTGCGTAGTCCCATATACATCTTTCTGTGTACAGTGCTTGTAACTTTATGAAGACTGGGCCAAATTTCTTATCATTTTGATGATTCCAGAACCTTGCAGTATATCTATGCTAGATGATCAACCTTTTCTGATCGATTTCACAACGTTTCTTTTACAATGCAATCGCACGACCATTAGTCAATTACTGGTCTTTATCTTTAACAACCGATCACGATCGACAGCAACCATAAACAACATGCGATGTAATCGGGCATTGACGTCTCCATTCACTTTTAATAAACGTGATCAAATTAGAAAATGGCAGAACATAGCTGAATGCGGTTGGCCCAATTGGCAAAAGTAGGCTCAAATATTTGCAAAACTAAGGAAATTTTCATCATCAAAACTTATAAGTTCCATTCGTTAGTTATTTGTCATTAACAATGATTCATTAAATTGTTTATCATAATCATATCATTTGAAAGTATCAACCATCATATTCATACATTCATACATAGTCTAGTCTAGGTCTAAATAATGATAGATCTAGATCTAGAGTCTACAGTACACAGCAGGTTTTACAAAATATTGTGTGAATGTACTGCATGGAGTTGACTGTCTGAACAGTGTTGCCCGTCACTATCATAATTATGACATTTTTTTATGATAATACACAGCCAGGATAGTAATGCTGCTATGAGTGGGTTTGCCTTCTTCATATACCAGACGCAACTGCTGATGTTAGCTAGTTAAATTTAACATAATATGTTACTAAGGACTCAGTAACGATACACTTCTTTATATGAGTGGGACCATGAAACTTGAATTCCCTATTGACCACGCCTATCCTACTGCACAGCACAGCCAGATAGGCCCTACGAAACTAAATAGTAAAAAGCCTTTCAGAAATAGTCTACTCACTATCTCCCAACATTTGGTTCATATTTTGCTTCCCATCCTGGAGGAATTGGCATTGAAGACCAAGGAAATGTATTGCCTTGTAAGGCTGTCATTTTGCTAGAAATAAAGAAATTTCAAGCCTGATAAAGAAAGAAGTGTCCCAGCAGTATCCAGCAAGTAGGCCTAAGAGTACGTAAACAAATGAAGTCTGTACCACCGCGCGCGCGCACGCACGCACGATTTCCAATGACGATTTTACACATAAGAGGCGCGTGCGTACGTGTGCGTTACATTTTATTGTTGCTAATTTTAGCGATGATCAAAGGACATCCTGCCCAACCTGTGATGAGGTAGTGTGAAACTATTTTATCTTCATAGAACAACTCAATCAATCAACTAAATTTTCAAGCAGTTCAGCCACGCTTTTTTATGATTTTGTTGTGTATTAGAGATATTTCTGAATTTATTTATAATCAATTCATCTACCCTTCTATCTTTCTTTCATTCTTGCTTATTCTGTTTGCTCTCTCTTGCTCTCTCTTGCTCTTTCTAGATATGTCACCAACTTCTTTGCTGCATCATGTTTTGTTAGTTCATTGTATTGGTCGTGCACATAAATAAAAAGCAATACAATTGGCAAACAAACTCTTTCTCTGGCTATTTGCACAAAAATGCAAAATGTCAAATAAACATGAATTAATATAGAATCACAAATGAGATTAACACATCTCAAATATATTGTCGCTCATATAGTTGGAATATTTTTGTTTTACCCCAATTTATGGAATTATTTTAAGACATTAAAAAACACAAACATGTTCAATTTATACAGATCAGTTGTTCAATTCTCATCGCTGTATTTCATTTTGGTTATGCCTGTCCAAATTGACAGTTCATAGAGCACACTTTGAGATCATGTGCCCAATATAATTTTTTGTTTTGTTATTATAATTGTCGTTATGAATTTGAAAAAATTATCATCATCAGTCTCACTATCGTCATCATCATCACGCAGAGGGGTCACTCCCAACATGACTGGCTACGCACCCGCGTCCAGAAAAAATGGCGAAAGGGTGTCTTTTTCAGCTATACGACGGCGTCAACGATTTCCTGAAAAAGGGGTGTTTTTCAAGCACTGATTGCACAAAACCCCCCAAAAGGGTATCTTTTCAGGATCACAAGTTTCGACGTTTTCTTTAAGGGTCATTTCAGAAAAGGTGCGATACGCCATTAGGGTCCATTTCAGACTAGATGTTGATGGACTGGGTAACATAATATGTAAATGAGAGTGGGCATCATCATCATCATCATCATCATCAGGTCATGTCCCAGTTAACTTCCAAGGAGGATGTTGATGCTGATGTTGATGGGGGGGGGGGTGTAAGAGGACATATTTTTAATTTTGTTTTTCCCAAAAATTTCGCAACGACTCAGCCAGCCGCTGAATAAGCGCGGGGGGGGGGGGTGGGGGGGGGGGGTAAGAGCACACTTTTTTTTTGGGGGGGGGGGTCGTTCTGTTGGGGGTCACCCATTAGCATTTTTTTGTTTTAATTAACAAAATAAAAAAATGAGGGAGGGGTTCCTCCAAAACACACAAACCTGTCTGTATTAAGCAACACATTGAGACTCCTCTGCAGTTCATTGGTTTACCCTTGGTCCAGTTGGGTGAAATAGGGTCTAGCATCCACCCAGGGTAGGGTCAGGTGGACCAAATTAATTGTCCATATTTCAAGGTATCATAAAGGGACAGTGAATCTAAGTAATTGGATATATTAGGAATAATATCAAGATTTCATAGCTAGAATTAGTATTGTGTCTAATAATAGTTGCAATTTATAGAGTGCCTTTTGCACTAGATACAAAGCGCTTTGACATGCTATCCACGAGTCAGTGCTCAATTCAGGGAATGTTACTTTCATGAAATGGCATTCCCCACTTTATACAAAATGCCCAAACAATTGAAAGTTTAAAATTGATTTAATTAGAAGTTTTTTTTAAATTTTATTTTGTAAAAATTTAGATCTATTGTACTTTTTCGTATTTTGTAATTTGTATTAAAATGTATAATACAGTAGTATGTTAATATCTAATGATACGTGTTGCCGTTCATTTCTAAGGTTGCACAGTAAAATCTACAGGTGTGATGTTACCTTGATGTTCGAGGTTCGAAGCCGCCAATATAATTGGAAAGCTTGAGTAGTGATTTTTTTCACAAAGAAATATCATTAATATTTCACTTTATAATTGAATTAACAAGGGGAAAATCGAACAGATGATAAAATAAGAATGCGAAAGCAATAACCTGTCAAGAAATTTGCATACATTGGAGGGGCCTATAATAGCCATTTTAATTTGTCAAAAATAGTAAAATGTTACAATCCTAAAACCTGCAATTTGACACTTTTAGGATAACTTCCGGCTCACGAAAATAAAAAGTGATTTTGTTTATGTTCAGTTCTTTATGATGTAAGGCTATTATGTCAGATTAGTACCCACACGTGCTAAGTCGAATAATTTTGATTATATTGCAGGAAATTTTGCTCCATTTCCTTTCGCTTGCCTCTTGTAAAGGTAAGACTTGTGTAACGCTCGTATTACTTATCAGACGAGTGGTAGCGAAAAGTAATTATCACTACTAAAGCATATTTTCCTTTAAAAGTGGCCCGTTAGTTTGCAGCTAGGCAGGAAGCTACATTATTATCTTCAAGGAAGATCCAGTTAAGCACATGCCTGAAATATTTTCTTCTGGCGGCATAGAAGATAATGTTACAAAGGGAATGAGCTATATATGACTCCATCTCTTTAAAACTCCTTGATCAGACCAAGCGATGATCAGGTTGGATTCATCCAGCAGCCATAGCCTGAACTTATAGCTATACTATATAATAGTACTATTAAACATTCTAGATTTTGTTTGTTTGTTTGTTTTACCTGACTGATAATAAAGTATGTGTATGCTTGTAAGTAAGCAATCAGGGTGACCGACTGCTTTAAGTCCTCTCCGAGGGACTTGGTAATGAGGATCAAAGGGCTCTATTATTGACACAGGTCCACGTTGCAATGGAATAAAAGTAGCATAATTATATCAATCACTGGAAATTAAAACAGTTTAGAAACTCTCTACATTATTATGTTATGTTATTGTTGATAGACCCATTACGAGCCTATTATAACAGTCATGATCAACATAATTATTTTAAAAACATGTTCTCTCTTTGTTCTCTCTCTCTCTCTCTCTCTCTCTCTCTTTCGTTTACTCTCTCTCTCGTCTCTCCTCTTCCATTTTCATCTTATTTCCTTTTTGTATGAAATGTTTTTATAGTTTGTTTGTATTATGTTTTTATTTTATATTTTGTGTATTTTTATGTGTATTGTAAGATATTTGAAATGTGATTTGTTTGTTACAGCAGGGCTCCCTTGGAAAGCAGGCCTTGCGGCATGAATAGGACCACCCTGCTTTTATTAAGAAGACCTGAATACATAAATAAATAAACAAATAGTCCCAATTAAATGACATGCCAGGTTTTAAAATTAGGTTACACAAAAAAAATGCAGACCTATCGATTATGCAAGTAATCACATAACGGTACCCCGGGGGAATACTCACATACTAAGACATACGCGGATGTGCCGCTCTAATGCCTTTGGGTCACTTTTTCATTAAAAAATCCCTTAAAATGCCTGGGTCCCATTTATTTAAAAAATATGCCTAAACATGGGTCCGTTTTTTCGAAGTTGTGAAAATGGGCTTTACTTCGAGAAAAATCCCCCCAAATGACAAATGAGCAGGGGTTTCGAGGCTTGAGCAGCAAACCCCCGTCCAAACCAAATCTAAGTATTCCCCCCCCCCCCCACTACACAAAATGATGTATGTAGGCAACGCAAAGCAATGCAATTATAAGCAGAGAATCCCAGAGAAGGAAAAAGATTGGAAAGTGTTTGTTTTTTTAAGAAGAAAAAAGAAAAGAAAAGAGAGAATAGAAACGTATTCACATCAGCTCATTAAATGTAACAATTTGGTACAAGAGCATATACCTTATAAGATTCATTTCTTTTACGAGTAATAGCTGTGCTATCAGTATAGGCCTATTGTAGTTAACCCTTTCCAAGAGCATTTTATTAAAGAGAGAAAAATTAATTGAAATTCTTGAAAATCACAAAATGATCCTCAATTGCACATCGTACTTTTTATACAATATCTTTATATTATAAGAAAACGGCTCGTAATTGATTGAACCTAATAGAACTACTTTATTTATTAGGTTCAATCAGGACTTCATTAATTGTTATTGATTGGCAAGATAAGTTGAAATTAATTTTTCAACAGCCTATTGATATGCGAGTCCTTAAAATGTTTATCGTCTACCATAACAGCTTTATACGAAGGATTAAGTAGTAAAGTAAGATATAAAATAATTGTTTCAAAGAAAGAGAGAGGGAAGGATAGCCACAGACTATAAAAGACAGAGGGAGAGAGAGAAACCGGAGGGGGGGGGGGGCAGAGAGACTGGAAACAGGGGGAGGGAGGGAGAAAAAGATTGGGAGAAATAGCAAACATATTGCTACAAAACTCACAATAGTCTTTAACAGCACTTTTAAAAGATCATCCAAATCCGCACATTAATCCGAATAATTAAAACAATACATTTTTGCGGCGAATGAATAGCAGAATGCGTTGTTATGATTAAGTATCAAACAATTTCATTGTGCATGGAAAATGTTTACTGTGTGATAATGAGATTATCATGTAATGAATACATTATTGTAAAAGCGTAATCTAATGATCCTTCTCTCACTGAACGATACAATCACAGCATCACAGTCATCCACTACACCTAATTACCAGCAATGGTGATGAACAGATGGGGAAATAAAACAACCTCACGTATACATGCTTGCAGAAAATAGCTCTCTCTCTCTACCCCCCCCCCCCTCCCCCTACCCCCTCTCTCTCTCTCTCTCTCTCTCTCTCTCTCCCCTCCTCTCTCTCTCTCTCTCTCTCTCTCTCTCTCTTTCACTCTCACTCTCACTCCATTCGTCTCTCTCAGCATCACGGTCTGTTTGTGCGGGTCTGTCTACGTGCTTTCTCTATCTCTGTTCTCATGCAATCTCCCTCTCACTGGCTTTCTCCCTCCGTCCTCCACATTCTCCTCCTCCTCCACATATCCGATATACCCTCTCCCTCTCACTCCCGATCTACTTCAGATGTGGATGCATATTTGTGTGTATGTGACACACACACCATTCATATCATATACACGCCAGATGGGGTGTAGGCCTTCAGTATGTTTACCTCAATATGCGTACAAGCCCGCTCCGAATATGGATAATTAATGTGATGACGTCTGCGGTCGTCTTGGATGATAGCGGTCTTCTCTGCATCAGCAAGGATGAATATAAAATAGTGCCGTGTGCAGTTTTTCGTCTACTCTAGATTGGTAATACATGCATTCATTTTTCGTCGTGACATCACCCTTTCTTCAAAGATAACCATTTTGACATTTATTACGACGGAAATCCTCTAGTTTTCATTAAACATCTATCGTTAGCATCTTCTGTATTTTCATCTAATCCGGTAAGTAAATCCTCTTTTAACCTTCCTTCAAAATACGCCCTTTTTTATCACATCCGCAGCTCGTGTTTCTAAATATTCAATCAATCTTTATGACTCTCCTGTAAAGATTGTTATTGATTAAACAGTCCATACGAATAAAACATTCAATACTGGTCCCAATAATAACGTGCTAATTTGCACATAATTATCACTCTTTTAGACCTACGTTTATTGTGAGTGGTTGATGTCTCGCATGTATAGGTTGACTCAGTAAGGTGGTTGACATTTACCATGGCGGCGTCATCTTTAATGCACGCCATAGGGCAATATTTGCAGCACTCATAGAGTGCACAAGATGGCGGGCATTCGTCACATCTGGAAAATTCTCCCCCATAAAACAGGGATGTGAACAAAAGCAAAAGACTAAATGTCATGGATTTTTTGTTTAACCCTCTCTTTATCGGATATGTTCCACCATAGCGATGTTTTAAAAAATTCTGCTCACTTGAAGAAAAAAAGCATGCTACACAACATGCTAGTGTATGCAAATGTTTTCATGATAATAATTTTGGTGTAATAACCTAGCTGCAATGTTTGTTTAATATCAGCAACTACCACTGTTCTGAAACAAATTTTCTCTATGCCAGTCAAATCAAATGTTATCAGTATAGCTGTTATCAGTCATTGTCAATTCTATTGATTACAAGTTTTATAAGATAGGACAGAATAATGTATTGACGAAAAAAAGGAGCTAAATGGAAATGTATAACCTCCATGGCATTATGGCAATGCACTAAGCGTAAATAAGCCCTATCGTTGTAGTGGATTACAATGTAAAGCAACAAAATATGGCATAATCATTATCCCTGCTGTAATTTTACCCGCGATAAAAGTTTGTCAAGGGAAGCTCATAGTGATGTTGCTCAATACACTTAATGCGACAGCTGGTGATCTCGTGTCACCATTATAGAACCGCACATAATTTATACTAAATTAAATTCTGTTCTGATTCCCGCGGAGATAATACAGGCCTTGATTAGGCACCATGGCATCTGGCCTCTGACAATGATTGTATAGTATTATTTTAGTGCACACCGTTATTTCTCGAGTCTCTAATATAAAATAACATAAAAAGATAAACAAACAAACAAACAAACAAATCAGACATTTTTATGTGGAAACGGGTATGAAAGGTAGACATTTAATTTCATGATCATTAACCCTCAATTATTATTATCCTGTATATTTATTAGTAAATTGTCACGAAATAAATTTGTAGCTTAGAATGATGATAATTGTGTCTTTATGCTGATTTGTGTAATAATAACTATATATACAAAATACATTTTTATCGTGATTAAGTCTTCTTTTACAAAATCCTGCTTCAGATATTTTGCCAGTGGCGGATCCAGGGGGGCCGCCCCCCCCCACCCCCTGGGAAAAAAACGTGTAAAAACACGTGATGTTTAGCTTTCTTGGGGGATGCCCCCCCCCCCGACCGACATTTTCTATCATCTATTGTATTCATTGCTTTGTTGGTATCCAGGGCTGTCGGTCTTGTGGACATTTTAGAACTTTCTTCTTTTATGTATTTTCTAGTGTATTTCTATGTTTTTGTCAGTCTCGTTGGGTGTCGTTCTACTTATAGCATATTATGAACCTAAGACATTAAAGATAAAGACCAGTTATGGTCATGCGATTACATTGTGGAAGAAACATTGTGGAATCGATCAGAAAAGGTTGATCATCTAGCATATAAGTGTTGGTGTATGCTGCAAGGTTCTGGAATCATGAAAATGATAAGAAATTTGGTCCAGTCTTGGTAAAGTTACAAGCACTGTACACATAAAGATGTATATGGGACTACGCGACACGTGCGCGATATCTATCAGGTCCAAATAGATATAATAATGTACCAAATATATCAATTAGTAAGCGGTTTCCCGGCAAAATTTGTATCATCACGTATTAGTCAAAACATATTCTTTCGCATGATTGGTAATAAGAGCTTCCATTTCACTTTTTGAGAGGGGGGCATTTCCAAAACTGGTCTTTACCTTTAATAGAAACGCTGTTATTCCTAGAGGTCCAGAAATTCTGTTTTTACTATATATTTTTGTGAAAATTTATTTTCATTACTGCAAACTAAAGTTTTGTCTCGACTATAACACTAAGTCAACATTGTAAACCGAATTATTATGGAGATGACGGTCATGCGCCGCCGGACCCTCTTAAAATGTTACATTCATAATTTTAAAGTTATTGCCCCCTATGAAACGCTACCTCTGAAATGATGACGATGATAATAATGGTGGTGGTGGTGGTGATGATGATATAGTAATGGCGATGACAATAATGATGATGATAATGGTGGCGATGGTTGTAGTAGTAGTGATGATGATGATCATTATGACAGTGGTGCTAATGGTGATTCGGGGAGTCATATTTTTCCTCAAATTGTTTTGTGATTGTGATCCAGAAATGTCGCTTATTAGATCCTAAAATGAAGTCCATCATTCCGTTGCCATTGATTGAGAAGAATATATGTCTTAATGCTTTTACATGACATTTCAGGAATGTATCCATGATTCGACGCGGGGGGGGGGGGGCAAAATTTATTTTTGTTTTAGTGACAACCAACAACAAAAAAGTTATCAGCCCATACATCTTCTTTTTCTTTCTCCTTTTACTTCTCTTTTTTGACTGGGTAGTGGCATATGGCCTCTTTTGCCCTTTGGATTCGCCACTGTCATACATTCCTACATGTATTATAAGCGAATTGGAATCATTGTAAAACACGAAGATATTACAGTAACCAACTGATCGGGTGTCACAATCAATTTTCAGATAGGCCCTATATAGATTGTTAAAAGCATCTTCTTTCCTGCAATTCCAATCGACAACACGAGTTTTATTTCATGTTAAGTTTGTTTAAAGACTATCAATATCAATCGAGTCTATGTTCTGTATTAAATAACTTCTTAGATTACGTGCAATAGCTTATGAAATTCTATCATAGTTTTAGTTTTAATCTCCAAGAATTCAAAACATTTGTATGAAAACGGTAGAAAATGTGATTTAATTAACAGTTCTCATCTCCAAAACACCTTATTTCTCCTTGAGGCAGCATGTAGGGCCTTCTTAATTACATGCAACCACCCCGTGCCTACAGTCGAGCTATATGGCATTATCAAAACAATGTGATGCTTCAAAAACAGCTCCGATATAATCTTTCAGATTGACGATCATTCGAAACACTTCATGCATCATAAGTACGTACGTCACGGCAATGGGCCGAGAAGGGTATACATAATAATGGACAGTGCCAACTCTGCTATCGGGAAGCGACTGCACACGATAGGCTTCATTATCAAATTGAGAATAAGGATAACAATGATGATGGTGATGATGGTGATGATGGTGATGATGATGATGATGATGGTGATGATAATGATAATGATGATGATGATGGTGATGACTTTTATTACAAGTAGTATTTGTAGAGTAATGTTATTGTTATTATTATCATCATCATCATCATCATCATCCTTATTTACTAGTTTTCATTATTATTTGATTATTGTTATCATTATTATCATGATCATCATCGTCGTCACCACTGTTACTATATGTTATTAACGTTAGTATTGATTTATGATCATACAAATATTAAATGATAATGATGGGAACAATACCAATTTTCACATTTTAATATGAAAGAAATCTTCAATTGCAACGCAGCAATTTTGTTCGAATAGATTCTCTCTCCCCCCTTTTTTTGGGGGGGGGGGTAAATAACCATTTCTGTTCTTCCTCATTTCCTCATAATAATATAAACATCTTCACATTTTTAGCATTTGCCTCCATTTTGGGGAGATAAACATGGTTTCGATTATTTCTTCTATCTGTAAACGATAATTCAATAGGTAAAACCAAATATGAAGAACTCTCTGTTTTGTTATTTTCTTTTTAAATTCTTTTTCAACAAAGCTTTAGTAAATAGTGAAAAGTGCATAATTCAAAATAACAACATCAACATCTTTTTCATTCTTTGAATCAAAATCAATACCAAACAATAGATGCCATGGTTTAAAATTAAATTAGACATGAAATATTTCTTTATATTCCTTTCAACTTCATTCCAAAACTTTATGATTTCGTTACAAGAAAAGAACATATACATACAATCACCTGGTTGATTACAATAATAACATTGCTCAGTGCATTTACTTTCCACAAGTAATTTGGTATTGTCAAAATATTGTACATAAATTTGAAATTGAAATTAATCAGTAAACTGTCTTTTATACCTTTTAACTTGAATATCCAAACATCTGACCATGCAGGTATACATTCCCTCTCTCTAACGTCCGACATTACTTGATGATGATGATGATGATAATGATAAGGCCAAGTAAAAAAAAAAAGAGTAACGAGTTTTTTGTCCGGATTTTTTTTTTAAAGGAGGAGGCAGCGCTTTAATATTTACTATTTTGCTATTTTTTCCAAGATGGCCGCCATGCTAATTATTCACAGATAGCCTATTGTGCTATTTGAGTATACTGATGTAATGTATGACAAAACAAATGATTTTTATCATTTAAGTCCACTTGCTAAGCAATTTCAAAAATTCAGAAACAGTGAAAAATTTTGCTTTGTTCAGCTATAAAAGCTATTTATACAAAAAGTATGTCACAGCCTTTTTGTTGTTGGTCTTCTTCTAAATAGTAAACAAAAGGACGAAGCGGCCAAAAAGGAGGCGGGCGGTTTTGTTACTTGGTCTTGTGATTGTCCTCGGGGGTGGTTGTCCTCGTGGGGGGGGGGGGGGGAGGTGGTAATCTTCCGGGGGGGGGGTAATTGTCCTTGGGGGGGGGGGGTATTGTCCCGCTGGAAATTGGCCGGGGTGATTGGTCAAGGGGTAATGTCCTAGAACCGGTTTATTCTTGATAGGTAAAGTTCATATCTTCTTAGAACTTTACTTTTCTATCTGTATGACTCTTTAGATTGATAACTAAAGCTCTGTGAAGATATACACCTTATCAAGAATAAACTTATTCTCACAATCATTTCATGGAAAGAAGTTTTAAATAATGCATTCCAACTTTATAGGCAACAGTGTATTTACAACAAGTCTTTCAGCCAAAGGGTATAAAAACATGTAACAGACAATCCATAAACGATTACAAATAAATATTATCACAATGTCCTATTCTAATTTGTAGACAAATCGCCATGTGGTACGTGATTCTAAGCATGTTGCTCCTCGGAGCATTGGCAAGCAGCGAGTACTCAGGGATGTCTCTGAGGGATCGAATCGCCTTGAGGAATCTTCTTATGAACAGCAACTACTATGACTTTCCTCTCGCCCCTTCACAACGTGACCTAGAGAACACAGCGACCAATTCCAAGGTTGTGATTCCGCCACTCACTTTCATCGCAGGTAAGATCCTCTTCATGTTCTTTTGATTTTTTCTTTGAATAAAAAAAATATCACATGATTTTATTTACACCGATAGGTTATGGTTCACGATCTCGCTAAAATTTGCTTTTCTTTTATCACATCTCTTTAATAACATGCATTTCGTTTTATAACATGCATTTCAGAAGCAATTCAATCTAAAGTCCGAAATCAATGACAGTATTGTAATCAGTCACTGAGGCACTCTTCTTGATTAAATTCACTACATCTTTCTGATTAGGTAAGCGTTTTTATTGAAGGTTTATAATCTACTTCTCTTGACATGAAGCGTTTCTCCTTCTCACTTTTTTAGTATAATTTTTTCCATAAAATTCTTTTCCATTCCCGCTCCCTCTCCTCCTCTCTCTCTCTCTGCCACTCTCTTGAATTGAATTGAAATGGTTTATTAAAATCGATACATAGCAACCCGAAAGCTGAATTGCATATCGATTCAGAATAAATTAGCAGTAGAATCGCATTTGACTTTACAAAATAGTACACTTATCTTAACAGTTTGAAAGCATACCAAAGTTTAAAGTCAGTATATCATATTATATACCTCACTTAAGAAATCCAGCCATCTGATTGGTCGAATTGCATTCATAAACTTCAACTGTTCCTGTAAAATTCTCGGTAACCATGCATAAAACATTTCACTATTTTTAATAACCATGGTTATTAAAAAAAGTTGGTCAGCCTCCATGGTTACCCCATAGGTTTACATGTTAAAAAATGGTTTGAGCGATGGAGGATGCCGTATGTGTGCGAAGGATTGGTCGGTAATTTCAATACAATTGAATCTCGATCGATCTTACCGACAATTTTATCTTGCATTGTTGACATGAAGACGAAAATAAACTTCCAAAAACAAAAAAACAACATCTGCCGATAGATCTTGATCTAAGTTCGTGCCAATATGCATTGCAAAAGTAAAAGAAGAGTCCGTATATGGAGCTTTTGCGAAGCATTCATCACACGCGAAGCCGGTTTCAATCCATTTTAATGTATATATTGGAGAAAACTGCCATGCACGTTAACGGCGGGCCATAGCCGAGTGGTCTAAGCGTTGGTTTTACGGTATACCTCTTGTTGTACGCAAGAGTTCGAATCCCGTCTTCAACAAAATTGATAAATATTTTTAATTTTTCATTTTTTAGTCTATTTTTTTCGGCATATAAAAGTATTAATGACTGCTTTAATATTCGAGAAATAGTTGTTTTCATACGCTCTCGGGAAGGTTAGAATTGGGCTATTCCCCTCGGCAAGCCTCGGGGAATAGCACAATTCTAACCTTCCCTTGAGCGTAATAAAACAACTATTTCTCTCAAAGCAGTCATTAATACTATAAGATGAATCATCCTAGGGATGTTGTTATGCAACGCTGATTTAGGGAGAAGAGAGAGAGAAATAAAGATAGAGAGAAAGAGAAAATATGTTGAGCACATGAGAGACAGAGATAAAGCGAGAGAGAAAGAGAGAAAGAAGAGAGAGATGACAAAATGAGAGAGAGAAAGAAAGTTTCAATACGACCTGCATTCAATACATTATAACGACAGAAAGTGACTTACATGTAAATATGGAGGGATTATAATGTATCAATCCAAATTGAAAGGAGACACATATTCAACTCTTTTCTCTATTTCAATGTCTATTTCAATATGTTTCCCCTCATTATATCACACTCTCTCTTTTTTTTTCTCTCTCTCTCTCTCCCCAGAGTGTTATTCCCTCATCAATAATTGTTCTTGTTCTCTAAGTCTCTGCTTCTTTCTATCTTTCTCCTTTACTCCCTTGCTCTCATCGTCTCTTCACCTGTTGCTTTTCTCTTCCCTCGCTCCTCTCTCTGCATCTCCATCTTCTTGTCTGTCTGCCTGTCTGTATGTATATGTGTCTCGCGATCTATCACGTTAAACCAACAGATACTATTACATCTTAGTTTATAGATCTGTCATAGCTAAAATGATCCTTGTCTTTAATATTTAATATTCAGGTGGCGCCGGAGAGGGCGTCCAGCACCTTGGCGCCGAAGGAGACATCCCCAACAGGCAGAACCCAATCCCTGAGGTTTCCAGCCAGTATGACAATCCACCAAACCCTTGCCCTCCTGGAGGCGAACTCACAGGTATAATACCCTTGTCACCATTCAACTACATGGTAATACAACTTACTTTTATGGTGGCCAGTCTGAATCTGAAACTCTAGAACAAAATGATAATAATCATCTTGAAGGTCTCCAGGGAAATTTATGTTGTTTCCTTTGAGATGCATTGGGATGATAACATTCATCAGGGTTTCTCAGTGTCATGGTAAGACACATGCACAAGTCCTGTAGGCGTCAATCCGTACCCGCCACCCATATGTTACATGGCCTCGTCCAATTCTTAATTTCACCAATAATTATCATGCTTATTCCATGCAGATGCATAGTGTGGGTCCAGCCACCGAGGGGGCACTGACGTTTGGGGGTGGAGGGGTGAGGGACACCGGTGTTACTCAACAAATGCTAACTAACAAAGCCACATACACGGGGAGTTAGAGTTTTCGTATAATCTTCTTTTCTCATCTCTTTCCCCTCCCCCTTTTATTTTATTCAGTTTGTCTCATATTTCCTCTTTCCGTCATTTGAGGAAGTAGGTTGGGGGAAAGTAGCCACTGATTTCAGAATTGAGACCCAAATTCACACGAAATCGCAGTAACAGGGTTGTCGTGTCTAAAGTACTGATCACAGTAACAAAATGCATTTATATAAGATACAATAATATACTTCATTATAGAAAATGTGTGTTTTACATTTTTAATGATCTAGTAATATTTTAATATGATAAATGAAAAGTATTCATATTAAACTATATCATAAACTTATCATTTGGTGTATTGTTTTTTTATTGTAAATTGTTATTTTAGGGAAAGTGAAAGTCTACTCTAAGGTTCATCGTCATCAGGTGTGTGCATGTGAGAAAGGATGGGAAGCTGGAGAACGCAGAGACTGTTCATCAGGTAAAAATAGATCGAGTCTCATTAGAAATGTGTTATTGATCCGTATTCATCCATTATTTCTCTTAATATTTTCGACAGATTAATCAGTGTACTTTCAATACGTGAATTACATTATAGGTTGTTTACCTTTTTAAGATTCAAACTTTTATTATTTTTATTGGTAAAGATTGAAAATCTTTTACAAATCACAAATAGTATTTATTTTGTCAAGATAATTGAGCTGAACATTTTTGATATGCATAAGTATGATTAACCCTAATATCTATCCTTATCCTGTGCACTTAAGGTTCAGATTTTCTTTTTTTCTAAACATTCTTAAGCTATTAATTGAAATATCACAACAGTTTGATTTCGACTGATGAATTCGTGTTTTGTTCGAAGCGAGGCAGACATCTGCAAATAGAATTATTACTTAACTTTGTTTAAATCCTTTCGTATATAGGAGTTAATTCTTAAAAAATGATAATTCACAATTTTGATAGTGAAAATGATTACATATGAGTATTATTCAGATGTAACTAATGAGAAATCAAGTTGATGGTGTCATTTCTATCTCCGAAATGTGTTAATTGGGAGCATTTCCACCACTATGTAGTTTGCTCCAAACTGTTAATCACCTCGCCCTTTCTCACTCATCCTTTATTTATGTAGTGTCGCAATAATATTGATACTTGTTATTAAGAGAAAAAAGTACACCAAACAATAAGTAAGAAATCATAATAGAACATAAGGTTAAGGACTATTCAAGATCTGTGATTAAAGAAGATGATGATGAAGAAGACGAAGACGGAGAAGGAGAAGATAATGTTGCAGAGGAGGAAGAAGAAAGATTGAAAAAAAGTGGAAGAAATGGGGTTAAGGAGGAGCAAAAGAAGAGAAAGAGCATGATGGTAAAGAAAGGGGATGCTGAAACCGATGAGATAATGATAAAAAAGAACTTGAGAAGAAAAAAAAAATTGAAATTAGATAGAAAAAAGAAGGAGAGTTAAATAACATGTCCGCTGACTGCATTCATTGAACTTCATGAAACGTATTTTTGATTTGATTTATTAAGGAAATCATGTCCAAAGAGATTAGGGACTTTTAGATTTGCGCGGACCGATACGTGTGACGTCCATTCAAGGCAGTGCATTCAAAGGACGTCGACCGTAGCAATCCACATTGTCTTCGTGCAAATCTAAAAGTCCCTATTATCTGCCAACTAAAACGGGTTAAATAATTCCCCGTCGTCTTCTTTTATTGCACGTATTGCCTCCACAGTTGCCAATCAAATACATCTTGGGGCCCCATGTAAAATGAAATAATTTAAAGATTGTGAAGTTAAAGAGGTGAAACATGACTATCTGCCACATATTTGTTATTCCTTCTCGCCTATGTTTTTTTTTTTGCTAGCCCCTAAGTGTTGCCTCCCTAACATGCCAAACGATGCGGAGTTTGTGAACCAGTATCAGCTATCAGAACGATCCCTCAAGAACCGACAACTTTTCACCCAGACAAGGGTACGTAATCTTCAACTAGTGATGATGATAATAATGATGATAATAAATAATGATAATGATAATAAAAGTAATATTATTGTAATATTATTGTCCCTCGTAAGGGCGTATAGCATGTTAAATCGCAATGTTTATCGGCATGTTATCAGGCCCCCATTTTGAATCTTTATTGTACGGAGTTTTGCTAAAAGTCACGCCAGAGCTTGAACTAATGTCATATGTACACAAGCGACCGCTGGACTATGACATCTCCACCTATTGCTTCATTAATTACAGGTATATGGGTCTAAAGCTTCTAAAGATTCTAGAATAACCTAGAAATATAACTCACAGACAGTATTTCTATTCTTTGTGCATGGAAAAAACTATGTCCTACATAAAGTCTGATTTAGAAGCAATTTTGAATCATTTAAGTTTTGCATTAAAATCATCTCTGTGGGTTTTCATCACGTAATCACTATTTTGTCCAGGCTTCGATTTACAATTTGGTATAAACCACTCATATCCCACGTTTTAACATTGAATAATCGGATTATTGTTTTTTAATAAAAAAGCTGGGGTGAGTTTAACCAGCCACATAATACTTTATTTCCGATGTGTTTTATCATTCTACAGAATAAGTACTCCGTTGGAGATAAGCGCTCAGACCATATGGCCAAGAAGAGCCCCGTATACAAGAGGGTAGGTGTTATTTCATTAGACACGAACGAACGATCCATCACAGCATAATATGCACTGTATTCATTTGACGGCAGTGTAGAAACTATAACAAGCATAAGGTTCATAAGTTATAGGGAAACAATTTATTCAAATGATATATATGTAATATAACAACAACAATATTAATGTTAAGTTATTATAGCCGTGAGAGGTTGACAAGCATGTTGCGATTGTCACGGCGATTTAATATCTACTAGTTTGCAACCTTCTCATAAAAAATGGTCAGTAAATGGAGAATAATAATGTACCTTACTTTTGTTGAAGTATTGAATTTGCTAACACAAAAGGGGAGTTCGACCCCACATCCCAACCCCAGCACCGGGGAAAAATAGTGTGACAACCCGTAAAACTTAAATGGGAATACCTTTTAAGAACAGAAACCTTATCAGCCCTCTTTTCATTTTCTAACCGGATTATTTTTAAATTCACAATGACTCAATTTCTTTCTTATTGCCTTTCCTTTGACTTTGCAGAGTATCAACTCTTATCTTCCTGGCGATATGGTGCGTCACGTGTCCAAGAAGTCTGCCTATCCCATCAGGGTGAGAAAGAAACATATATTGCAAGGGCGGATTCAGATATCCGAAAGTATTGGCTGCCCCTCCTCCGGTCCAAGTCCTAATCTTGAAAGAGGGAGGGAGCCTTTCTCGCGAATTGTAAAGAAGGCATGGCGGATCAGTTTGTTTCGGAGTGGAAATCCACGCTATAAATAATCGTGGAATCCATTATCAAAAAAGTAATTCAAACCACCACATTGGAATGATTCCACTTAAAAAAAAGTGGTGAATGAAAATGAATGTTTCCTGAAAAGGCGTATTTCTACTCCTCTCCATTCAAAGAGTCGGAATAATATAAGGTACATTCTTGCTCTCCAACGTTTTGCTTCCGCACTAAACCCATCTTTGATTCCTGAATCTGTCTTTGTGCGATGACTTACATCTTTTTAGGAATCTCAACGTATGGGATATGAGAAGGTGACACGAGTCTGTTATGCTAAGGGTCCCTCCCTGTTTCAAATCTTCCCATCAAATGCATGGACCCCGTCAGTCTGATGGCGATGTAAAATGTCTATTCTATGCATTAATTTTGGATAAAAGCTATAATTATAGCAAACCAAAGAAATTCCTTTTACTATTGAGGTAAAAAAAAAAAAAAAAAAAAAAAAAAAACCTGTTGTTGTCAGTGGCGTATCCAGAAATATTATTGATTAAGAAATTGAATAAAGAAATGGAGCAGTGACCTGATGTACCTTGATGACTTTATACACTGTATACTACATAATATATAGGGGCTTTCAAAATGGGGGAAGGGGCTCCGCTGGCTTCATCTCCTGATGGATACGCCACTTGTTTACTCGCAACATTTGTAGGGTACCCAAATCATACAGATTCTGAAACAAACTGAGTCTCCATGTAATTTTTGTCAATAGCTCCAGCTCTTGGCGGTGTATATCTTTTCGTAGAAATTGTATCCAACAAGCTACTTCACCCAATATTTCTTCATAAAATACGAACTCACAAATTAGGCATTGCATGCAGTGCTTCTAATATTTAAAAAGAAATTTCAACTGCGCCTTTAAGAAATTCTCGATTTTCGGGAGGAAATTTTTTCCCAATCCTAATTTTCCATTTGTATCTATATAATAACCGCACACCAATAGTGAATTTACTCTGTTTTGACATAGGAGAAAACATAATCATGTATTAATATATCACTTTCGTGTATCACTTTGTCTTTTTTCTTCCTGTAAAGACCTACGTAAACCCGTACACCTACAACCAACCTCATCTGAAGTCCGTAGTCGCCAAGAAGGCTCCCGTTTATTCTGGCGCCAAACCCATCATGTAAAGAATTCTCTCTCAAGAGATAAACAACCCTCTCCTGTAATGATCACAGTTTATTTGCTTCATTTAAATGAAAATTCGATTTCCTTCATTAACTTAGAATATATTTAAGACTCCTAGCGTCGGTTTAAATTATACATTTAATTGCATTTGGTGTTAACGTTTTAATTAAATTCAATGTTCATTTGATTGAATAAATTCAATAAAAGGAGTTCAAATTAATTGTTCTCAGCTAAGAATAATATTTTGTTTGAAGGGTTACATTGATGGATACAGAACAATCATATTTAGTTTGCAATGGAACAAATAAGGAGTCTCAAAATTTAATTTGAAAGTAAACCCATTTCGGCCAATTCTATATTCGCCTCTTATCGAATAAAGTTTGTTACATTTGGTACGTGCTGTTATCTATATTTTTAAAAAAGTATAAGTATATTTAACAATATGGCATCTGTAAAAAATATCGTAACGGATTTTACTGTTGTTTAAGTGTATACAAAATATGATGGTTGATACAGTTCAGATACAAATATATTTGTAGATTTTCTTGTAGTGCTGATCGTTAATGAATAGGTATTTCTACATAACTAAGTTTGTAACATTTCACCCATTCACTCGATTTGCACTACAAATTTACATTTTTGATGATCCCTCTCTTTTACTCTCTCTCTCTCTCTCTCTGTTTTCTTTCCAACTTTACCCCTTTTCTTTTTCTTGTTCTTATTATTATTGTTTTGTTTGCTGCTGTTCTGTTTCATTTTCTTCTTCTTCTTCTTCTTTTCTTGTTCATGTCCTACTTCTCCTCCTCCACCTCGTCCTTCTTATATTCCTCCGTCATTAGTTACTCTATGTAATAAAATATCTTCGGCAAAAATTAAAATGTTAAACTATATCAAATTCAACAGTGTGCATCTGTCAAATAGTGCATTAAAAAATGATGTATTCTAATTTAGTCGATGCTCACTTACAATATGAAGAAGTAATGTTCCTACAGTTTAATTCATCACATTCATTCTGTTAAATAGCTTAATATATTATCACATATTTTGATTTCAAGTGGATTTAGCGCCTTATAAATGTCATATATTTATGTTTATTATTATTATTATTTTATTATTATTGTCATTATTGTTATTATTATTATCATCATCATTTTTATTATTTTAGAACGCTGTGGGTCGGTTTGGTTAGGCTGATAGAAGTTTTTTAATGTGGGGATTTGTGAATTGATTGATAGTTTCTTAATGACCTAGTTGCCCGAACACTTGGGCTGTAACACTCTGTATATTCCCTCTCTTAAATTCATCGAAAAAATATACTCTGTTGTATAGCTCATAAAGTCGAAAATAGGAATGTTTATAATATTATATACGTAGTAGTTCTTAATTTGTAATGTTTCTTTTTTTTCTATCTCGCTTTTATTCTGGTATATTCGCTAAAACGGTTGTTATATCTTAAGATAAAGGAGGTTTTCAAAATGACTCAAATAATCATAGTAAATATAGACAAACCTGCTTCATGTTCAAGCAGGAGCTCAAAACTTCAAGATAATATAATAAAATACTAGAATATATATATACATGTACAGTACACGTCGCTTATCGTGTGTATCTTACTTGAAAACATATCTTTTATTCGCAAATGTAAATAAAATTATATTGTGAAGAGTATCGTAGGAATATGTGTACATATTAATGTAGACATGTACGTGAATATAATACAAACTATCACATGAATCTAGTTTATACTTGAAACAAGTATTCTCCCGAAAAAAAAAATGCAATACACAAAATAGCCTTATGCAAAATCACTTCCCCATTTCTTTTCTAAATGCATGCCAGTAAACCTTTTTGATTATAATGATACCAAATTAAATACGAAAAATATAGATTATTATCATAAAATAAGATCCCATATTTCTGTTTAGAAATTTTTATATCGAATCGAAATTTCTTATAAAAAATGTAATATTTCCAAAAAAGTTGGCCCAAAGAATAATTACTAATTGGACTAATGATAAAGATTGATGCGTGTATCCATCACATTAATGTGGTTTAATGTAATGATAATGAGTTTCAGCGATTGTTCTTCTCTGTGCAAAGCCACCGGAGAGACAGGTTACAGGGGAAAAACAGCGAAAATAATTTGAATAATTGTTCGCTTTTCATTATGACAAATACTTTTTGTCACCTCTTGATAATAAGAATATAATCAATTTTATTTCTGTGGGCTTTCAGATTGTTAATATGTTTCACATAAACCTGTTGTTTCATACAGACCCAGTTTCAAATACAAGTATGGGACACCATCATCGTCAATGAGAGCAAATAATAGTTTTTAAACCCTTTATAGACGTTCCTGAATGGTCGAAAGTAACATTGTTTCGATGAATATTGTTGAGTGATTGTTAAAATTTTGGTTTTAGAATATCGATATTCAATTTTTTTAAAGTAAAGTGTATTTAAGACAACAAAGATCTAGTTATGAACATTCATAAGACAGTCACCACGCAAAAAGATATTTACAAAAAAATTGCACTATTTAATAAAGCCCCCTCACAATAAATCATCTCTTGTCAATGTATTTTTCTTTCAAACTTTGTGCTGTGGTTTGATATGGACCGTAAGGGGGTAATGACAGTATATTTCTATAAAGTTATAAAATCCTATTTCAAATATCAAACATTATGTGTTCCAATATCGGACGACAGTGATGACCTTGATCGTGGGGGCCTTTTATTTACATTACATACACCCAACCCAGGTACAGGTATCCGGTAGGATGCGAATGTCATCGTGGTTTGGCCTGCATTTTGCATGTATGACGACAGGCTTTAGCCACTTTATAGTATCAGGTGCTATTACCATTCGGATCCCATACAACTGGAGAATAATAAAAAAAAACAGCAATAGCGAAGTCATTCAGGATAATGTAAATACATAACACGATAGCAAAGACTCTCGAAAATTCCCATCACATAGTGAAAAGTGTGAACATTACAATGACGACTTACGTGATAAAAATGATTTCTATTGGATAAAGAAAAATATGTTGAAATCGATCGCCTTCAAGTTGACTTCGGGAAAGAGTTTGAAGGGAGTTTTTAGAACGGAGTGGACGGAAATATTAATCGCGATGTTTCCGTTGTTTGGTATTATATCTATTTTCACGAACCCTCACGATGCCCCTGATTGCAAGAAGATATTTCCAAAAATATCAGTGGCCCTAATGGAAAGCAAAGTAGAATTAAATGAAAGGCTACTTATAGTTGTGTTGTAAAATGCAACCCCAAACTCTTTTCTGATCTTAACAAAATATGTAGGCCTATATTTTAAACAAATATTTTAATCGAAGCTGAGTGAAATTTGTTGATGTTTTGTGATCAATTACTTTTTCAAAGACTGACAGTAATATAACTTTGCGGGGATTGGAAGCGTGGGTGTGCCAATAATAATCGAACAAGATTGTCACTTTCATGATTAAAGCGGCGCCTTTTGATATTTTGCTCCTTCAACTGAAAGAAGTCGGAGGTGTCATACTGATATAAAGTGATGACCCATCGGACGAAATTGACAATTATGTAAAATTGATTCATCGATATCTCACATGAATTATAAAGAATATCCTAGGTCTATACTCGCGTTGATATTGACCTGATAATTGTAAGCAATGACTATCCATGCTTCGCAAGTTCTGTAGATATGTATACATTAATTCAGAAAGTGTAGGCGTACTATTAAGTTGAAAGGACCAAGTGACTGTATAATGTAAATAAGTTTCCCTTTCCTTGTATTTGTTAATGCACTGTATTATCTCATTTATAATTTAATTAGCATTTCCATCTTCGAGATCAGATGACCGAAATATATCTTATTCAACCAAGTTGTTACGTTCCAATTTATATGGGAAGACAATTTTTTGTCTAGCGACTTTCAAAAATAATTTATTCAAACAATGGAAATCACAAAATCCTATTTTCAAAATGACATCTTTTGAAAACCCCTTGAAAACTAAATTTATCTTAATTGGGGCAAAGGGATTTAGTTATATAGCTAGTAGCTTTTCTTTATCCGATAAAACTCGAAGGAATCACTTACTGGATGAGGTTATCTTAATCACCTTATCATCTTAATCCTCCTAGACATTCTATTTCTCCTAACGTAAGGTCAAAGCTGTCGGTTGAGCCATCATTCAGGACTGAGCAGCCCGTATGTGATAATGCGGAAGAACTGGCTCCAGGAGGATTGGGTGGATCAAACCCTAGATGACGATATGGACCCAAACCCCTACAGGGAGGCTCATGTCTGATGACATGTCTCACTCATCGTCTGATTGTAGGGACATGGAAGATCTGCACCATAATTTATACGCTGCAGAAAAATTATACTGTGACGCATGATGCTCTGTGGTCTAGGGGTTTGTAATTCCGAAACATCTTGTGGCACTTAAGAAGGCCTTGTATGATAATGCAACCGCTGTGGTAGGGGCTGAAAAAAGGGTAGTACATGGATACATTTTTCCTTGAGAAAGGAGTTTGACAAGGATGCTTTTTGTCTCCAATGTTTTTCAATCTTTGTGGAGAGAAAATTATGAGGACCGTATACGCAGATGACAGAATCGGAGAGCAGCGGATATATCATAAGAGGAAGGGCAGTCTGTAACCGTAGATAGGTTGACAAAACAACCCTAATAACCAAATCGAAAAAAGAGAACTAGAAGAAACATTATTTACTAGAAGAGGAGACATTTTGGTTCAAAATAAATTCAAGCAAGACACATCTGACGAAGGTCAGAGGCAACGGGTCGGGAACTCAATGACAAGGATATCGAGATCAAAGAGAAGCTCAAGTACCTTGGATCTGATCAGTAACAATCAGACGCTCGAGCACCAATGGCTCGAATAGTAACGACACTGCTGACACATGTCTGGAAATAAGTACCCAAATGTAAGTCTCTGTTTGAAGAAGAAGCAGCTAATAAAGTTAAAAATCTGGAGCATTGCGCTTTATGGATTTTAAAGTTGGACCTTGAAGGCGTCAGACATCAAGAGAATCACTGCCCTCGTAATGTGGATTTGAAGGCGAGTTCAAAGGGTCAGCTGGAAGGACGGGAGGAAAAATTAGTGGGTCAGAAACAGAGTTACAGACTTATGGTACCAGACAAGGAAGGAATGGCGGCACAAGGAAGATTGCAAAGTATGAGCACTGGAAAAGAAGAGAAAAGATTGTAGCAAATATCGAAAGTGAATTCGAAGAGAAATGTCGAGTTGGTAGGATTGCCTGCGGGATGGATAAACAACATCAATAATTAGGAAGGTGGAATGAGGGTAGCCAGAATGAAAGCCGACGGCCCGGAGGGCTAGGGCATAACATAGTAGTAAGGGTTAGTCAGATAGTTACGTTTCGAGTTTAAACCAACACCATAATAATATAAGACAGGGATTCAGGGGGATGTAGTCTCCCCCCCCCCTTCCACCCTCACAGAATCGAAATGCAAATATTCCGGCAACCCTGTATCATATTCGGACGTGGTCTCTATAATTTTTCCGTATCAGTTAATTCTTTATTCATTCTTCAGTTTAAAACAAAAACATACAAACATAAAACTAAATACAAACACATAAAAAAAGTTTAAAACTGGGTCATCATGAAAAACCTACTACCAGGTTGATGTTCCCTAGAATTCGCAAGTTATATCAATATCATAACATACAAACCCCTCAAGTAAATGCCTGTTTCAACGATAACATACATCATGAGGATTTTTTAGATGCGGTGAAAAAAGCTGTGAACGAAGCTGTAGGAGACGAATTGAAAGATATAAAACAGAACTTGAAAAAGTTTCGCATCAAATAGATATGTAAGATATAGAGGAGTAGCTATATATGTGCATAATAGTTTGAATTTTCATCAATTGACATTTGATTCCACCCTAAATTTAGAAGCTTTATCATTACTGATTGATTAAAAAAAAGATAAACCTCTGATATTTGTTACATGGTATCGACCTCCAAGCTCCAAATGTGATATTCTCAATTATTATGAAATTATGTAAACATTTTTGAGGGATTTAACAAACCAATCATTCTTATGGGAGACATCCATTTTAATATTTAAAAACAACCTTAAACAAGTGGATGTAAACGATATAACCAATTAATTGCTATTTATGGTTTGAAACAAATAAATAAGTCAGAATATACAAGAATTACTAAGGAACCTTCAACACTTGTTGATCATATTAATTCATATTATTACAAACTGTACTGAGAATGTAAATTCTTTTGGTGTTATTCATAATAGTCTCAGTGATCACCTCATGACTTTTTTGATCCGGAACACTCATCAATATGATAAGTGTTCTGATCCAAAGTTCGTCACAATTCGTAAATCAAAAGGTGTAGATTTGAATGCTTTTAAAAGAGAAATCAATGAGCTTGATTGGTCTGACGTTAAAGACATGAAGAGTATAGATGACGCCGTAGATGAATGGCAAGAGCTCTTTTAGGTGTAAATAATAGGTACATGCCAATCAAAACTAAAAGAGTAAGAAAGAAACATTCACCGTGATTAAATGAATAGATTTTTGAACTAATGAAGAAGCGTGACAAAATGAAACAGATGGCAAAACATGATAACAAAGATGTATATTAAAAAGAATATAGACAATTAAAAAATAAAGTTACATTCGAAAATAGAAAACTTAAAAAGAAATACTTTATCGGAAAATTAACTGAAACTCTAGACAGAAATCCAACATGGCCGACTCTTCTACCCAACAAGAGCTCTAAATAACCTATTCATGTGTCACATGATACTTTTGAAACTGTAAATTGTTTTAATAATCATTTTGCCAATGTTGCTAATGTCTTACATGCATGTAATGGTGCTAATGTCTCGCATTTGTGTAACGAGACAGGTCTGGATACTGATATACAAGACCCACTATTTGAGCTTTCTTTAGTTTCTGAAGCAGATGTGTTAAAAGAAATATACAGCCTAAAGAATAAGAAATCGGTTGGTTTGGATGAGATCAGTTCTTACATATTGAAAACTTGTGCAATAGAAATCTTTAGAATTATAGCTTACCTTATTAATAAGTCGATAACTGATGGGGTAGTTCCTTGCCAGTGGAAGATTGCAAAAATTATACCATTGCACAAAAAAGGTGACATACGTGGAATATTTAAGTAAAATCAAATACATAAGAACTTTAAGAAATTTCAGCTTGTATTAATTTAGTAATTTTAACTCAAAATCAGAAATTATACGTATTACTCAAACAATTTATGTTGATTATTCTTATTTTTTTAAAGTAAGGACCGATGCAGTGGGTAATAGAAATATTTACATAATTTATGAATATTCATTCAGACCAAATTAAACTCTTTTTTAAATAAAACAATTCTTTTTTGTGGTTGAATGAAAATTTAAGGACTTTAAAACATTTACTAATTCATTTAACATGGCTAAGCAAAGACAAGACAATTTTTAATTGTTACCCAGTTCAAAACAAATCAAAACTTGATATTTCAGGAAATTGTCAACCAATTTTCCTTTTAAGAT